GCCCCCGCAGCTGCACTACAACTGCTTTCCCAACTCGGCTGCACTTTAGTTTCACCCGTCAGTAGAAATCGACCTGCAGCTTTGTGTGGCGGTAAACACTTTCCAAAGCATGGAGTAGACGTCAAGGTGGGAAATCCCGGCGTTCGGAAAAGTTTGCCTCGATGACGGCGAGTTTTTGACACGTGGGTGCCATTTTCTGTAATGGATCTGATAAACGCCTCATTTATTGATGGCGAATCAAAAAGGAAAGTACCGTGGAGAACGGTTCTGTTAGAACTTTTTCATGAAAAGGGACTGAAATCGTCTATTTTTGTTTCCAAATTTCCTAGCTCAGGAGTAACTGGATAAATGAATAATATATTAGATGTGTTGAAATTAAAAATTTAAGGAAAAAAGGCTCTCTCTTATAATAATCTGCATCCCTTTATTTCATAACAGAATGAAAATTATCAAGTGAAAAAAATAAACCTCTACTCTCTGGTTATTTTGCTCACCAAAATGTTTACATTCATTTTGAGGTTTTGATGTGATTTATAATTGGACTGACGAGAATGAAAAAAAAAATAGCATTGGCCATCGGTTGATTATTTACTGCCAATCTATATTTCACTTCATTTGTGAATATTTTACCACATAAAAAATTTCCTGGGATATATTTTAAAAAAAGAACCAGTTATTTGAAAGCTTTTGTAAGCTTTTTACATACCCACGGGCTAGATTTAAACTCGGAGTTAGAGAGAAAAATTATCTTTTTTTTCCTCTCGAGCAAGTTTTAGCATTCAAAGCGAGGGAGCCAGGCCGTGCCAAAAAACAACAGAGGCGCGTGGGCTGCCTTTGCAAAAGAGCGAACGTGTCCGTTTTCACTGGTTTATGTACATTCAATCGCGAAATCCACAGCGAGCGGCCGCGACAAAGGCGGCAAAATAGTCGGAAAAGCGTCCAAAAGAGGCGAAGTGGCACTCACGGGGCGAGCAATTGAGTCGCTGGAAAAGGCTCACGGTCCGTCTGCGAGTCTCTTGTTTCACAGGCCAATTTTTAAGGCTCGCCAACGCAGAGGGGTGGCACTTGGCCTGTGTGTGTAATCTGTGCCTCCGCTGGTCGGATGCCAAAAGCTCATTTGCAAACGCTGGACGGCCGCAAAAGCCGCACCCGAATGCATGTCAATGGACTTTGCACAAATACAAAGGGCGCAAATACTGCGGTCGGCCACATTTAGATAAGAGCGGAGAGAGGAAGAGAACCTTGCCGAACACACGTGCCCTTTCTTCCCTAATCTGCGCGAAATATGCGCACCCCGCAGCCCGCCGGCTTTTTGGCTAATTGAAATCGTGTTGACTGCGCCAAAACCTTGTCCAATCGCGACTTCCACGTTAACGAACATTTCACGGGTACGTCAGCCCATTATCTTTTACGAGTTGACAAAGCAGAACTGCAGCGATAAATTGTCAATTCAAATTAATTCAATTATCCAACCAGCTCCTTCGTTCTGGAAAAAATTCATATTAAACTATATTTATAAAGAAAATTTTAAAAATATGTTTACTGAAAGCAATAATCTAAATATTTAAAATTATTTGAAGAAGTTGTTTGATCACGGAAATGAAGAAGAAATAATATAAAAATATTGCAATAGGATTAAAATTAAAATAAATAGGAAGTAAACCAAGAGACGTAATTTGTACACATGAAAAAATTGTATTCATATTTTTTTTTAAAATGGTATCTTCCTTCATTTGATTTTTTCCAACCTTACACAGTTAATCTGAATTTAAAATATTTTTATTATTTGAATAAATTTACCAATCTTCCTGAAAAATCTTTATTTGAACAATATGAATTTAATTTTCATCAAATAGTTATTTTCTATAATTAGTTTCAAATCTACCGATTTTGTTTTGTTATTTCATATTGAAGTTTGGAATTAAATTTGAATTAAAGTCTAATTTTGAAGTGATAATTAGGCAAACTTACGATTATCAGGATCTGAAATAAATATACTAACGATAAGTTGTTTCCCACTTACAATTAGGTTTGATTAGTTATTTCCCCACAACTGTAATTAAGGCATTAATCAAAATTAAATAGCCAAGTGTTTCTTGCACAGTTTCAGTAAATCCACGTAAAAACCTTTTAAAAATCCCAAATATTCTAGATTAAATAACACAAAATTTGGAAGATTTGAAATGAGTTAAAGAAAAGAATTATTTGCTGAAAATTTAATTTTTAATATTGGTCATTTAATCCAAAATCAAAATTTTATTTTAATTCACAATGTTCGTTTAACATAATATTATATAAGGGGAAATATCAAAACAAAAAATTTTGAAAATAAATTATTACACTCCCCTGCAAATAAATTTTCTTGATTTTTTTTCCTTTTTAATTTAATTAATTTTTTACTTACTTCGGTACATATTTCATATGAATAATTTCCATTTAAACCATTCTGAAGTTCCTCTGTTAGTGATATTGTTATTTCTTCAATGGCACAGTACATTTTGTCTTTTCACCTTTTTATTTTTCGTTGTGAAATTTTTGGTAAAAGATTTATAATGCAATTAAGTATAGAGAAAAAATATTTTCTATTAAATATTACTGTCAAAATTTTATAACCATTTTGATTGTAATTTTCGCATTCTGAATATATATTAAGTATGAAAATTTGGTGTGGGGACAAACTGTCCTCTAATTTGGATTTTGTCTCGCTGCCGTCTGCTCTTTGGGACCCACACACGTCGCATTGTGCGCGTCGTGTGTGCGGCACCATGGCGAAAGGGGCGATGCTTTGGGTGGCTCCATCAATCACATCTCGGCTCCCTCAACATCCATCAATCTAGCAACACGATGCCCCAGCGTTCGCACACACCGTCTGACTGTGCTGCATGTAGCTCATTTTTTTCTCCACTTCCTCGGCCGCTTGATAGCGCAGTGCTTTTTCCTTCCCGCGTGCTCTTTCCCGTAATGGAAACGTGCTCTTCACTGGGATGCTCCGTCGCCGCCACTACGCACAACAATGGTACTTGCAGACTCACCGCGTAATGCTGGCGCAAAGATGCAAAAACGGAAACTCCTCGCCCACTGCGGACGACCGTCTCTAATGTGTTTCCATTTTTCATGAATATTTTTCGTAATTTATTACCTATATTTTATTTATTCATCTCTGATGGAAAAAATCGACGGTTGCTGTCACATTTACAAGCAAAGCCATTTTTCTTGCCTCCAGTTTATCTCTTTCTTTCAATCCTACAAAATCCGACAAAAAATATACATGAACATGAACATGAAAAATTGTTTTTGATGTTATTTCGCAAGCCGAAATTTGTCACTCACTCTTCCAAAAATAATCCCGTCACGTCGGTAGAGCACTCACACAACCTGTTAAGTGCACAGAGGACAATGATAATTTCCGGGCGGAATAACAATTTTCACCGCTCGTGCACGCAACCGACAAGTAATCGGGACGCAAAACATGACCGCCAAATAAATATGAAAGGACTGGCGCACATCCTTTGTGCGACCAAGTTGGGGTGGCGACAATGTCTTGCCGACGCATTATGGGCGCCGCCGTCGCCGCAAAATGATGGGCTCGCATTTCACATTTATGCGTCTATGAGTGTACACGTGCCCGGAATGGCTCATACTTCTCTCGACGCGAAAATTTGAATGCGCACCACCACCAGCCACGACTGCAAATGAGCCGGCCGGAGGTCAAGGAGAGCAAAGAAAGGAATTCAATTTGGGTGCGCTGGCAAGAGATACGAGAGCGTCTCAAGGGTGCTAATTTGCAAATGGGGGAGGAAATTAAAATTCCTCGTTGTGTCCTAAATTTCCTTGTTTAATAGTCGTTAGGGAAAAACAGAGTCGCAGAAATAATCAAGATTAAAATAAATTTAAAGTTTAATGAGCAAAAACTATGTTAAGCAAAAACATTCAATAAAATTCTAATTTTAATCTCAACCTTTTTTCCTTCATTTAGAGTGCAGGTATTAACTATAAATTTCGCCTCCTATGTAATTTTTTTAGGGCTAATCTCACAGCCAAACGTGGGTTTTCGCACGGAGATATATAGGCCGTGGTTGAAAGTATCGAGCGGCCATATAAGCAGCTAACTAACACGGGCTCACCAAGATGAGCACGCCCGGCTTAATTATAATGCATATTTGATAGTAGACGCGGCGGTTAATGTGAGAAGGCTTAGCCGCACACGCCATTAAAAATGGATATTACAGACTTGCAGCAGCGGCGCACGGGCGTGCCAACTTGGAGCCCAGGAGCCCAGCAGGAATGACCCTGCTGTGCTTTTGTAAGCGTGCGCTTTTGGACCGATCTGATTATATAAGCTCTCGTGTGTAATTCTCTAATTGAGTCAATTAACAATGAGCTTCCAGAGGTTTTAGTCCCAAAACTTTGCTCGTTAAAACTTTTTATAAATACTTAAACGTTGGTTTCTAGCAAATCCAGCAATGATTAATCACTACAAGATAATATTTATAAATTATGCGGATGAATTTCTTTTTCAGCCATTTAGTTTACAATAAAAATTTAATAAATTAAATTTTTAAATTTAAAAAAATTTAATATAGTCCTTATTGTTATTGTGCAATTAATTTTCACTTCTTTTGTTGTTAAGTTTAAGATTATTCAATTATGAAATGTTAATAAATTTTGCAATATTAAAACGTTTATTTTGACCAAATAATTTATTTTTTAATAAAATTTTAAATTTTAGTTCTTCTTGCTCATTTATTGTAACTACTGCCTAAACAAGAAATTAATTTTACTTAATCTTTTCTTAAAACTTTAGAGTTGATGTAAGAGACAGTGTGCTTATTTCTGGAATGGCAAATTATTTGCGCCCTCTCGCTAAATATTTCACAACAAAATTTCAGCCCTGTTCGCCACTTTTTCCAACTTTGCCCATGCATATTATAGGGTGCTCCGCCTGCACCGCCCACGGCGCATTATTCATGGAGTTAACTTTGTCGCCTTCTGTGTTGCAGGATCGTTTGCTGAAAACCAGCCATACCTTTCAATACAGCCGGTGGAGCCTGTGCAAATCAAGCCCGTGAACAAAGCGGTGCTATTGACGTGCAAACCGTCCGGCCAGAAGGAGCTTTTCACTGACCTCAAGTGGACCGACCCGCGAGGCGAAATCGTCAAGCAGGACAAGTGAGTCACACTGTTGGGCCCCGTCCGTAAGCGCATGGTTTTGATTGATTGACTGAATAAAGTCCACCTCGACACTGCTGTTTCTTTGACGAACACGCTAACTATTAATCGATAACGAGCCGTCATTGATTTTGCATCAGTAAAAATTTTCACACTATTTCTGCCTCATCATGCTACTGCGTGTAAATATATTAATCAGATCGATATTTTCTATCTATCTATCTCTCTTTCACACTCCTTCTTGACAAATAAGCGCATTCTTTCGACGCCTCTATTCTTCCCTTCCTCTATTATTATATAAAATTTGCGATCGTCATGATTTTTGTGCCCAGTTGTGAATATAAAATTTGTTGTACCTTTTGCCAACACTTAAAGTGAAGGAACCAACTCCAGGTAATCAAGCAGGACTTAAAATTTAGATGATATTTTTACACATTCTTAGTGGAGTCTTGCCAATTTAGATATGAATTCCTCTCTGTACGTTTTCACTTCTAAATGTTGCACATTATTTTGACGCCCTTATCTCGGCTTTCCATTCATTTAAACAGAAATTTAAATAAATCTAAATACACCGTTTGGCATTTAAATCACGCTGCAGTCAGAGAATAAGTTAGTTGGTCCACTTTTGCCCTCCTCCGACCATTGATTTCTGAAGGCAACAATTCGCCCTCTGCCATATCTGGTGCACTGCAGCAAAAACATACACACAAAAGAAATAATTTTAGACCTTTCCAACAACGGCTTGACGTCACAACACTCGATGAAAAGCCATCCATCGCTAATGTATTTTCGCCCCCATTCAACGTCTGACCACGAATGAGTAAAAAATGCAACATTTTTATAGACACCCCAAATCTAAAATTAGAAACACTGTGATCCTTTTGTTAGAAATAAACACACTGTATTCAGGCATGGTTTAAACAAAGTTATATATTTATTCTAAATAAATGTTTGTTTGGTTCTAAATGTGGACAAATCACCATAAATCAAAGCTCGTAGAATTCAAAGGAAAATAAAATATATACCTTTTGTTTTTTTTTTCACGTTTTTTAAGGCAAAAGCAGACATACTTTGAATTCTACCAGCTCGTGGTGCACTAAATGTGCAGTGTTAATTACCTTTACCTGCTCGGTTTGTGCATAAAAAAAACTAGCAACTCACTCTCTGCAGCAGTCCTAATAAACACATGAATTTGTGTTGAGCCACACCACATCGTTAAGCAAATTATACTCGGCGTTGTTGGATCCATACACTTATTAGTGTGCTGCCTGGAATAGTTAGGTTCCCTTATTGTGCGCGAAGAGCAAGAATAATTATTACTCCCCTGAATCCCATAAATGGTGACTGTGCAATCATGACGAGAGACTTGTGCATGCGAATAGACCCTATATTCTATACTGTGCTTTCCTCTAGCAACACTTTGTTTATGCCTGCTTGTGGTTGAAGCAAATAATAATAACGTTTCCTGCGTTTGCGTTAATATATATTCCAACCCCGTGGATGTGTAATTGCGCGCTGCTTGATTAATCAAGCGTAGAATGTTGTAGTTCTATGCATGAGTCCAATTCCTCGACGCTCGTTCAAAGGGACTGGACCGACCGAATAATTTGTGATTAATTCATTCTCAAAGGAAATGTTGCCGGGCTTAATCAGTAATAAGAAGCTTACATTTAATACACGCAGCTCTTCTCAAATTTCTCCTCTGGCTTGAATCACTTTGATTGCTTAATTCAGCTCACGATTGAAAGACGCTGACTAAGTAAGAAAAAATTGAATTCAGTAAGATATTTGAGAGGATCTTTATATAGAAATGCGAAACACTGACAATGAGCAATAACCAATCCCTTCGTTTTTAATTTCACACATAATTTCCTAATATTTAATTTTATTTTCAGCCAAGCTTGGTCAATGCTGTCGTAAAGAAGCATAGCCAAGTTTTTGACAATATTGTGATTTCGTTTTTACTAATTTCATTTCGTTCATTTTTGCCGGCTACTGACGCTAACAAAAGAAGAGCAGCCGGCATTTCGCCAATATCTGCTTGGGGAAGCACTTTGGTTCTCTCATTTCTTCGTTTTATCGTTTCATTTCCTTTTATTTCCTCTCTCCTTTCTGTACCAGCAACCACATTCACTTTTTTCATCAATTTTCATAAGATCGTGACATTTCTTTGATGCTGCCAGAATAAATTGATTTCTGATTTCTTCTCATCTTCTTTTAAATAAATATTTGCTTTTGCTTCATTCAATCAATTTATTTTCACTGGTAGACCATTAAACCATGAAAATTTAATTATGAATAATTTTAATTAGTCTTACAGTTCATGGATTCTTATAGAATTCAATTATTATTGCATCATCTTTCTACACTCCTGATCCATCAAATCCAAATCACTTTGAAATAAAGTGGTTAAAAAATAAATTATGGATATATGTAGCAAAAAAATAATTCCTTTAGATTTGTCACGCAGAAAATAAATATTATTATATATATTAAACTTAAATCTACAAAACACACTCATCTCACAACTCATAAGCTTATGCTTTGAAAAATCATGCTGGAAATTGGGTTTTTGTTATTATATTATCCCTTCTTCTGCTTTCATTTGTATTCAAATTTAAAATTTTATATTTTCAAATTATTTTTACGTTTCAAAATTGTTTTTGCTCAGTCGGAGAAATTCAACGCAAAAAATTGACGCAACATTTTCACACAGTAGACAAAAAACAAACATTCAGTCCCAAATCTTTCAAATCCCTCAACCTTTATCCTATGTCCTGTCTCGTGAGAGGGCAACAAGGTGCTTCCTCATGGTCGAGGGAAAACCTTGTTGACCTGAACCTTTTCACGAGCAGTTCATGGCCATCCACTAGGCAAGGACAAGCAGTCTACACGGAGAATTTGGGCAGCGACGGCACCCTCGCGCTCATCATCAGGAACCTGAGAGAGTCGGAGGCAGGCGAGTACACCTGCTCGGCCACCTACGCCAACTCTGAAAAGTTTGTCAAGAAAGTTCGCATTGAAACCTTTGGTAAGAAGAAAAATGCAATAAATTTAAAAAAAATAAATATAGTTTTATTATAATATTACTTCTTTGTATTAATCTAAAGAATGATTACTCTGTATTTCAAATTTATATGAACGCATAATAAATAATTTTTTTATTGATTCCAGTCGCGATTACCTGGGAGGATGCACCAGTTGAGCAGTACCCCATCCTTCACTCCGACTACAAAGTCAAGTGCAAGGTGCACGCAAACCCGGCTCCAATTGTGGACTGGTTCAAGAATGGCGAGGCCCTTACCACAAGTAAATAACTTTTTCTTTTTAATTATTTATATAGCAAATGTTTTTCATTAGAGTTCCAAATTAGGAGCATAATATCATTTTAAAAATTTTAAAAATATTTTTAGCTGATCGCTACGTGATCGAGGCCAACGGACTTCTGATCAGAAAGGTGGCTGAATCCGACGATGGTACCTTCACTTGCAGAGCAATCGTGATGGAGACAGGGGAATACCAGGAGAGGCTAATTAAGGTGGAAGTTCACACTCCTCCTTCGTTTGATGATATGCCTACTGAAGCCGAAGTCGTCGAGGGTGACTCTGGTAGCATCACCTGCAGAGCCAGGGGCAAGCCTATTCCTAACTACACTTGGATCAAGGCTGACACCAGAGAAGAACTGTCCAACAGCCTCAGGTAAATTTTGATTTGGTTTTAGAGGAAAATAGGAAATAAATTCAAACTTTATTCAATAAAAGCATTTCTTTGAAATTAAGAACAATAAATTAATGGCAAATTACACGTAATAAAAAACTTTGTTAAATGTCTAATTGAAAGAAATTGTAATACAAAAGTCAAATAAATTTTAATTGAATTTTCATTTTTAGGTTCTCTACTAATCCTTTGACTGGAGTTTTGACTGTCAACCCTGCTGAGAAGAATGATCGCGGAAAGTACATCTGCAAGGCAAAGAACGCGGCTGGAGAGGTTCAGCGCCCTGTGCACCTTGGAGTGGTTGTCCGTCCGCACATCGACGAGCTCATCAACATCTCCATCGCTGCAGGTGCTCAGGAGGCACATCTCAAGTGCGTCGTCTCAGGATGGCCTCTGCCTCACGTCACCTTCCAGCGAGTTGGCTCCAACGAAAGGTAATTTTTTATGTTATTTCTGAAAAATGTTTAATTTTGTTTGGTAGATTCACAAACGGAGCCCAAGATAGTGACGACCGCATTGTTCTCGAGCAAGAGAAACTGGCGCCTGCGGTGCCTGGAGGTGAAGAAAGAGCACAAGGCCATCTGATCATCAGTGACCTGCTGAGGTCTGACGATGGCCTGTACGCCTGCATTGCTTCCAACAAGGGTGGAGAGGCCCTCAAGAACGGACACATCACTGTAGAATTCCCACCGTCATTTGCCGCGACGCCGTTGAAGGAAGCCTGGAGCTGGGACAACCACCCTGTGAACATTTCTTGCCTTGCAGAGTCCATCCCAAACGCCACCATCACCTGGAGACTCAACGAAAGAGAAATCGACCGAGACGGAAATATTCAACAGATTGGAAATGGACCCGAGAGCACCCTTCAGGTTTACTTAATTAAAATGTAAACATTTCTTATTTTCTTTATACATTGAAATTTTCAACAGATTATTCCCATTGACCGGCGGTACTACGGCGTCTACAAGTGTAGAGCAAAGAATATTCACGGCGAGGCTGAACATGAAATTCTTCTGAGAGAGGCCCATCCGCCTTCGGAAATCCTCCAGGCCAAGCGCGAAGTCATTACTGGTGAGCAGCTTTATGAAAGTAGTTTCAGTGTATTCATATTTCCTCATTTCAGCAACAACTATCACTTTCTCATTCATTGGGCCCAAGGACGATGGCGGTCTGCCAACCAGAGCTTACGCCGTTCAATACAGAGAGGACAGGCGAAACTGGAACGAGGCGCTCAATAAAACTTGGCCAGTTGGTTGGTATTTTTCATTTCTTGATAGAAAGTTGTTTTTGACCTCATTTACAAAATTTCAGACTCACCATACATCTTGGAAGGACTTGAGCCTCAAAAGTCGTACAGCCTGCGATTTGCAGCCAGGAATGATGTTGGTTTTGGAAACTGGGCCGCTGATGACCATGTCACCATGCCTAAGAGATCAAGTCCAGAGGAGCCGAAAATCATCACCAGCCAGGTTTTGGATGGTGTTTCAATGTCGCCCTACTTGGACAGATTTGAGCTCAGGTGGAGGATTCCTCCCGACAATGGAGAGCCCATCGAGAGATACGAGATCAAGTACTGCGAGGTAACTTACCCAAATAATAAATTCAATGAATCTTTGAATTTAAAAATTGTCTTCATCCTTCAGGTTAGGAACTCCACTGATGGTTGGGTGTCCGAGGGAGGCTGCAGAGACTTGGAGCTCCCAGCAAATGGCCCTCCGACTTTCCACATGACCAAACTGAGGCCCAATACTCACTACAAAGTCGAGCTGAGGGCACGTAACATAATTGGCTACTCAACGCCAGGCCAGGTCATCTTCAAGACTGCCAGGGGTGAGTTTCTTTTCACTTCTAGCTTGAGTTTGGCTCATTTTTGCAATATGAGAATTATTTTCATACACTTTGATAATGAGAGGAAACAGTGTGGATTTTTGTATTTATCATTATATGAATTTTGCAGAGGTTTTTATTTTTTGCATCATGGTTTGTTTTTTTGTTTTTGTTGCAGACCCCACTAAGACAGGTATTTACTACGACTTCGATACCTCAGCTGCCAGCCACCACACCAATTCATTGTTGTTGGCTGCCACTGCTGCGTTTTTCAGTAGCCGCCTGTTCAGCTCCTTCAGCAGCTGTTAGGCTTTCCCTCCCGACCCCACTTGCAAGCCCCTATTATTGTCAGCATTATTGCGAAAATTTTCAGACAAAAAGATCTATTATAAAGAAATGTCCTCCTTGATGTGTTCGTAACAAAACAAAAAATGGCACATTCCGGTGCATTCGAGAAGATTTTCGCGCGCAATCAAAATGATTGTGTTTATCTTTTGGATGAAGATTAGCATCAAAGATCTGTCCTTCTCCCTTATTTTTTGTCTTCGTTATTGGGACAGTGGAATTAGAAATTATTAGTTCCTTCTCTGGAAATTTGATTTTTTTAATTGACTGTTGTTTGATTAAGTTTCCTTCCCCCCTTTTTTTGTAAAAAAAAGCGCTGCTGCATTTTGAATTGAATAAGCATCAGCTCTAGTCTGTTGTAATTGTCAAAAGCCTCCTTGCAATGTTTTGATGGCATCTATTTAAAACAAAAAACCTCGTCTTAAACCCTAATGTGTACCATTTGGAAGGCTTTGCGTGTCAAAATTTCACAATGACTTGACTTGACTAAAAATATTTTCAGGCAGACAATTTTTGTCAGATAATTGTTGTTCTCTCTTATCCCGCTCTTGGAATCCCCCTTAATTTTGTTTGACCCGTTAATTTATGCAACCAGTTGGTACAATTTCATTATATTAAGTTGGATTTTGTGAAATATTTTTCTAGACGACCGCTCTAAAAAGTGAGATTTTGTTAGTGTAACTGTAAAAATATGTCAAAAAGTTTCCCGAATCTCAATTTTTAATAATACCTCGACTTTGTCCTTTGAAAAGATTCACTCTAAAGAATTAACGCTGCTCATGATAAATTTGCAAATTTCCCATCTTGGGAATAAATTGAGCTTTCTCCTGTCTGGATTTTTCCGAGCATGCCAGAGTTGTGGGTGACTGCTGTGTGCTGTCTTGCATTTTCCTGAAGGGATATTTTATGGTTGTCCTTATAATTTGTTTTAAAGAGCTAAACTTGAAAGAGTAAATCTTATTTACTCTATTTGCAGTGCTTTCTTTGATAATAATTGGAACTTAAATTTACCACTTATTTTAGTTTCACACTCTGAAATGGATGGCTGCAGGGTTTCCTAATTATATTATCTGATTATACCTTTTCATGTGGTATGGTGTGAGTTTTGCTCTGATGGTATGCTTGCGTTTTGGTTTTTGAAGTAATGTAGACAGTTCAATAATTATATATACTGACAAGGGAGCAAACTTTTACTTTTTTTCCTTCTCAGTTTTTAAACATCAGCTTATATTACACGGCGAACTTTTATCTACTTCATAATATGCGAACTTTTTGGCATTTTTCTTGTAACTCTGAGATTAAACATTCCTGAAAATTTATTTCAGATTTTGATGGGTAGATCTTATGAATGCGGGAATATGTGAAAAACAAGTCAAATTTTGAGTTTGAAGAAAAAATGCACATTCGACTCAAAACTTTGATGAGCGTGTTTAAGAAAAATAGAGAGGTGGATGGTCTATTTTGAAGATTTAACTCTTGAAGACTAAAAAAAAACACTGATAACCAGTTTACAATTAACGAATACTTTGAGAACTTTACACACACGTCACTATAAGGTTGTCCATTATTAACAGAATCTCAGTCCCTAATCGTTTTACAGTTGCACCAAATTTAAGCACAGATTGCTTCAAAATAAAAATAAAAAATTGGCAGGAAACTCTAAAGTAAAAATGAAAACCAATTCGACCAAATAAATTGATGCTGTACTCTACGATAGCGACAATAATATTCCATATAGACCGCCAAATTTACAAGAAAAATCTCAAATTTCAAACCGAACATGAATCGAAAAACTCGTCTCACATTATCCTCTTGAACACTGAACACTATATTGTATGCAAAGATGAGAAAAAACGAATTTGTAACGATTACTTATATACTTCGTAAGATTGAAAATCTTGATTGTGCTGTCATCCGACAACGCATCTGCGAGAAACTCTGTGTACATACTTTAATATAAGGGACAATTAAAGTTAATGCTGATTTTACGAAACGAGAGTTCCTTTTTGTGTGTTTGCCCCTCTCACCCTCTATGGACCAGCAGCTAGAATTTCAGCAAGCATCGGACCAGTTAGCAATTAATTAAGTTGGGTTAGTAAGTAAATCATGCTCCCTGTGTCTCTTACTCTATATATTTTACTCTTCCACTTTTTTTTTATTCTCCTAATACTTGTTACATAGAGTAGTAATCAGAAAAAAACTGACTAATTTACAATTTACACCAGGTTGCTATATGTGCGGTAGTTTAAAATTAGCAATAGATGTTTTAATTTTATACTTAAATTTTCTGTTTTTGCTGTATCGCTTTAGATGTTGCTGGTGGCGTTGCATTTTGTTGATTTTATTTTCCTTGCTGTCGCTTTTTATGTTGCACTTGAATTTCAATAATTACTTTTTCAAGTTTCTATTAAAATATTTAGAGCAGCAACAATAATAATAAAATGAGAAAACCGATCGCTGAAAAATTGTTATGTTAATTTCAGTAAATTTTATCAAAAAAAAAAAAGACAAAAAAAAATGTAAATAACTTCACACAATTAAAGAGGTAGAATGAAGGGGATTAGGTGAATGCTTCTTTGTAGAGAAGTGTATGCTGCTTTTCTTGATTTACTTTTGTAATCTGAATTCCTACGCAGGACCGGAGCCAATTGTCGAAGCAAGAGAACCTGCCCTGAGCAGCGGCGCCCTAATTGGAGTCATCGTGGCTGGACTTTTTGTCGTTTTTGTAATTGTGGACATTTCTTGCTTCATCTTCAATAAGACCGGTAAAATAAATTGAAAAAAAAAACTAACAATACAATTATCAATATATATTTTTTAATCTCGCAAATTAAAAATGAAAAAAACTTATTTGTCATGGTTTTAGGTTTGACTCATTTGATTACCTCCCAGTGTGGCTCAAAACAGAGGATGGACGAAGAAATGAACAGAAAGTAAATATGAGGCTCTAAAAATTGTAAAAGGAAACTAAATAAAAAAAAATGTATTTCAGTGCCGAAAAGGAGCCGCTCAAAGGTCCTGTAGTGCTGATCAATGATGACAGTTTGAAAAAGGACACTGAAGTCGAGTACGACGCCAAAGTGGACGGCGCCCGCATCATGGTTGTTCCACCTCGTCACTCTGCCGTTTAACAATTAATGAACCTTCTGAGGGACATCCATCCGGATTGAATAGATTTTGCATTTTGCTTAGTTGTTCGAAGAGAATTTAAGTGAGACTGCCGCACACCATCAACACGCTCACTCTCTAGATTCTAGTCTAGCTAGAGACAAAAGTTCTCATTCTTTAACACTTTGATATGAAAATTCAGTTTGACTGCAAACAAACAAAACCGAACAAGCTTAAGTCAGCGTGTATTTTTTCAACGGGCCATATTTTTACATAAGTTCATCACGCATACAGAAATTTTATAAGACTTGGATTTTACAGAGCAAGATCTCACTCCGGCTCTTTCTCAGCTTATTGCATCACACACCTGTACTTATTTTTCCACGGCTGCCTTTTAAACTTTGCAAATCTATATTATTGCAGAGTAAGATGCAAGAGTGAAGGAACAATTTGTTTCCAATTCACACTGAGGTGAGCTTCTGCCTCTCATACAATTAAAAAAAACTATTCTTTCGTACCAACTACTAACCCAATGAATTGTGTGGATACATTGTACTATTATAAAATGAAATTTAGGAGTTAAGTATTATTTCATTATAAGATTTTTAGGAAGCATTAAAAAAAATGAAGCAAATAGGATAGAATTGTATACAACTAAATAAGAGTTAAGTTGGAAATGCTGCACATTTTACATTATTATGTCTACCATTATGCTTTGCTTCCATTTCTATTTGTGGAAAAAAATCAAATTGATTAAACCATGATTCAGTACTTTAATTGCCATCAATAGGCTGATGCTGAAATTAATTATGAACATTATTTCTTTTTTCTTCAAGATGTTAGACTGATTTCTCAATTTATGTATTTATTTAATAGTTTCATGATGCTGCAGATTTATAGAATTAAATATGTTAGGCATTAGTGGAAGAGTCACCAAATAACAAGAAATGTGTCGGGCTTGAGCGGAAAAGTTGCATGAAATTCGTTGACAGTTGAGTGTCAGCTTCCTGTAAAAGTGTTGTGTAAAAAAAAATTGACGCCTTGATACACTCAATTATATTTCTTTAGAGGAAATTGTAGAAAATACGCATCTGGGTGTAAGTGGGTGTAAGATTGACTTTCTTGAACAATGTTAAATATTGACGAGGTAAATTAATGGTAAGAAGCCGCATTTTAACTTTGTGCTTTAAAACACACTACAATATAAGACCAAATCTTTGCTATGCCAAAACCCACTCTTGATCAAATCGTGTGCTTCACATCTACGAGAAAAAGATTTTGATGTAAGATAAATAAGAACAAGTATTTAGTTATGTAAATGATGCCATCTAATGAATAAAAAATAATAAAGTCTAAAATATTAAAAAATCAAATTGGAATATTTTATTTCATTAATTCTCTTAACGATATAAGTCAATAATTATGTTTCATCCAAGAAGAAAATAAAATATTTTAAGTTTAATATTTTTGCATTTATATAAATTAGTCAAATAAATCAATCATCAATCCACATAAAAATTATATATTTTTATTATTATTTATAAGTGCCTGTCATTGTGTAAACTGCAACACGCGCCGCATCAAAGTCGAGCAGGTTGCATAGATTTAGAAATTGGCTCTGTTGGCCGCTGGAGGCGCCACAGGTCGGACCAAATTCGTGTCAACCCATGTGGCTTTGTTTTGCTTGCCAATCTTGTTTTACTCTCTCACTGAAAAGAGAATTTATTTACGGATTGCGATGAATTCTGCCGAACAAAGTGAAAAGCCTTCGGTGCTGGAGAGTTTGGGCCTTTGCAGACTTTGTCGTCTTCGCTACACCGGCGTTAGGAAATTTTCAGATTACGATTGTACGGCCGAAGTGAGTTTCTAAATTGCCATCGGCAGCTGCGCGCTTTTTATTTTCTTGAAATTATTTATTTTTCAAATAGGCTGAAGTGAAATCAGAGGAGCCACCGACGAAGTGCAGAAAGGAAGAAACGTGTATCGCTTGTTTAGGCCTGTTGCAACATCTGACAGAAGATTCACAGTTGCAGCTGGTAAGAAAAATTTATTTTTAAAAAAATAAAAATTTATTGTTTATTTAATTAAAATATTTTGAAAATCACACCTTCTAGCAGTTTTAAACAAAACTATGTATAAATTTTTATCACTTATATTATGTCTTTAGATTAGAAAAAGAAAATGGAATAGTATTATCATTAATGAATTTAGAATGTAAAATAAATATAATACTGCTGCTTTATTGGAATTGAATATTTTCAGCCAATTTAATTTTAATAATTCTTTGTGTAGATCATTGATGCAATTGCAAAAGAAAATTATGATTCACCAGTGATGACCTGTGCTGTTTCACTGCCTATTGCTCTTCAAATTCGAGCCCACTCTTTGGAGCTTTATCTGAAAGGAAAACTTCCAGGATTCGACAGCACAAAGGCAGATTTTGTTTAATATAAATTATCCCCAAAATTTAATTTAATTATAAATACTAGGTAGTTCCAATCAAGGAGGCTTGGAAGTGGGCTTGTTCTCAAAGAGTTGCCTGCGCAGTCAACAAGGAATCATGCAGTGGTGCGACTTGCGATTTTCTCATTAACATCAACGTCGAGTATACAAACGACAAAAAAGAATGTTCTGCTCTGTAAGATCCTTATAATTGGTTGAATTTATTGTAAACATTATAATTTTAGACAAGAAGTGCATTCTGAAAAGTTCGAGGAACGAAAAAAGCAAAAGAGGAAGTTCCATGGTCAGCTCTACACCAGGCAAGGGGTTGAAGGGATGCTCAATAGCACTACGAAAGAAGAATTTTTGTCCAAATTCGACTGCCCGCCTACCTCTCCCCATGAATCTGCCTTTTATAATGGTGTCCAATGCTCCCATAATGCGATATTTATTGCTGGTAAATTTTATGCTTAAATAATTATGACTTTTGAATTTTACTAAAAAAATGAAGTTGAACCTTTTAAGGCTGTTTTTAACTGCTTCGAAATTCAGGTCGTTACAATAAATTCAGCCGATTTCTAAGCCAAACGCCTTGGTTAGTGGAAGGTGAGAGACGGATGGATGGTTCTGTGCAGGAGCTGATAAGCACAGCTCTGGAGACAGTCTGCAGCTCAAGGAGTAAAGCCCACTTCTAGGAATTTGAAATTGTGATTTTCGTAACTTTAATTTTTTTAGACAGCAAATTTGTAGCGTCAGGGAGGGAAGACGTTGATGTTAGAACCCTAGGCCGGGGCAGACCTTTTGCCGTCGAACTTCCTGACCCTAGGAAAACATTTCTCAATCCTCGGGAATTACTTAGCCTGCAAAAGGAAATAAACAAAGGAGGAGTAGGTCTCATTCATGTCCGTGACCTTCAACGCATTGCAAAGTAAAAAGTTTTAGGTTGAAGATTGAAAAATATATTCATTTCTGTTAGGGAAGAGATGAATCAACTGAAGATGGGAGAAGAGAGCAAGAGCAAATCTTACGAAGCATTTTGTGTGTGTCTGGAAGGAAAATTAGATCCTGAGAAATTAAGCTCCTTGGCCAATATTAAGAATCTTGTTTTGATGCAAAAAACTCCCATTAGAGTTCTGCACAGAAGACCCTTGGCCACTAGAAGCAGGACTGTGATCCAAATGAGTGCCAAAATGGTATTTAAAAAGATATTCGATTTTTTTACACTAATCAAAACTTATTTATGCAGGTGGATGACAAGCATTTTAAGTTGTGTCTCGAAACGCAGGCTGGTACCTACGTTAAAGAATTTGTACACGGGGACTTTGGAAGGACGTTACCTAATTTGTGCACACTACTGGGGGCATCTGTTGATATTCTTGCATTGGACGTAAAGGTATTTTTCAACACAAATTTTTCAATGTCAGACCCAACTGATTTTTTATATTAGGAAGTTTTTCTGGACTGGCCCAAGCAAATAGACGAGTCCCTGGATAATTGAGTGGAACACTTTTTTTAGAAATCTTAATGCTTACTTCAAAATACAAATTTTTTAGGACATCTTTAGATTATTTTCTACCAACTTCCCAAACTTTTGCACCACTTATTTTGTTTTGCTACTATAGTTAAAATTTTTGCCTCATCCTAATTAACAGAGAGTCGATAATTTTTTCCCTACTTGGAGATACTAAAAGAAATGGCTAGCAAGAGTATATCCAGCAATATAGAGTAATATAAATATGATATTGATATTGAATCAATTTTTTATTAAATTTTACTGATGTAGATAACCAGGAATATTTTTACATGTTTTAAAACAATTAATAGTCATTAATAGCACTTTGAAAAATAAAATTACGATTAAACACTTTGTTTTATGCTTTTATATGCTGCCTTATGACATATACGTCACGTCTTCTTTATATACCACATGAAATTCGTAAAATTCTCTCTGCTTTTCCTTTCTATTCTCTCAATTCTAATTATAAGTATAGTCCAGTCCAAGTACAATTATTAGTTCTTATTGTGTTGATTTAACCTGCTTGTCCTGCTTGCATTAAAATTAATTCATAAATTTATTTTCTATTTGAATTGAGAAAAATCCTCCAATTCTGTGAGAAACCTCTTGTAAAATAAATTCGCTAAAATCATTTCTCTCTATATAGTTAGAGCGCTCAAATTGAAACGTTGGTAGCTCCGTATTGCAGATTTTAGTTGGCAGAACTTGTTCGCTGTTCGCCAACAACAACAGGACGAGCAGCTGGCAATGTCGAAGGTTTGACATTTCGAGCAGACTTTTCGCATTTTCTTCCAAGATTTTGCGATGGCAACGTCTGACAGCGAAGATTTCGAAAGTGCCGACGAAGGATTTGACACGGAGGATTCGCCAAAGGAAAATCCGGAACCTTTGGGGTCTGCAAATGCGGATCAAAAGCAAACGTCACAAAACGACGCAAAACCTCCAGTTGCGGAGGAAAAGGTAGTCGAGCCTGACGATGAGCCAGGTTGGGAACCTGAGGATCTGGACGATGACATTTTGGAAGCCATCACAGACGAAGACTCCGTTAATGACTCCACGATAGCTGTTGACCGTCTGAAAATTGAGGAGAGCCTTCCAGTAGAACCCCAGCCAAAAGCTGAAGAATTTTCAAACCAAAAAATCCCTGCAGGGGACAAGGTAAACGAGGATAAAGTCGAAGATAAGGTGGAACAGAAGCCAATCAATGAAGAAACCGAGGAAACTTTGCCTAAAGGAAGACGACCAAGACCAATAAGGGAGGCTAAAAATGTCACCAAACTTGCTTCAGGGGGTCCTAAGAAATTGGGAAGCAAACTTCCTGCTAGTAGCAAACCTGACTTCGAAGCAAGCAAGTCCACCGATGAAATTTTAGAACCAAAAGTGGAAACCGTTGTTGGAAAGATAGAAAGTCAAGAGGACCGAGTTGAGGACAAACCAGAAGTCTTATCTGTTTTGGACAAACTTAGTTCTGCAGCCGAAGAATCCCAGCAGAGCTCTGTATATTAGCTAATATTTTTTAATTTAAAACAATTTCTAATTTAAATTTTCTCACAGGGATGGGGGAGCTGGGGAGGATGGGGAACGTCGCTTCTGTCGACAGCAACCTCCAGTGTTTCTAGTTTGGGCAGCCATGTGATAAGTACCGTCATTGACACGGTTGAGAGCGGCCTGGGGGCTCCAGACCCTGAAGAAATTGCCAAAGAGCAGCTTGGTAAAATTAAATCAAATGCATTTAAAAATAAATAAAAAAAATTATTTTTAAGCTGAGGCAGTAAAGGAGCCACTAGATGAAGGACCCAAATTTGAGGCAGTTGATGAAAGCAGCAAACCCGAAGATGGTGGTTCTTTTCCTCTTGGTAGTTGGATCTCCGGTGTGAGTCAGTTTGGAAAAATTGTGGAGAGCACGGGGTCAAAGGTATTATCTGGTGGCCTTGACACACTGGAGAACATAGGCAAAAAGACCATGCAAGTACTCCAAGATGGAGATCCGGGACTCAAAAAGAAAAGGGCACTTTTTCAGCAAGAAAAGCCTGTTCTTTCTCAAGTAATACACTATCTTGAATGTTTCTTTAGTTTTAATAAAAAAATAATAATAATTTTAGGCCCTGCGGGAAGCAAAAGAATTGGCAGACCAAGAGGAAAAGGCAGTTGAGGAGAAAGTTGCTGCTAGAAAAGTCCACTTCGAAACCCTTTTTGATGACTTCCAAGGTATTTAAAAAATTTAATCAGCCTTGATTGCATTGAATATTAACCAAAGTGTTAAATTAGGTCTTGTGCATCTTGAGGCACTGGAAATGCTCTCTCGACAATGCGAAATGAAGCTCCAATCTTCTCTTTTAAAGTTGTCAGGAGCTGAATTGAAAGAGGCCCATGAGAAACTTGTTGCTGTTCGAGACGAGAGCATTTTGCCTTCTACTGATGACGTTGATGAGCCGGATGGTGACATTGCTGAAGCTGTTAAAGAAAACATCAATGCTCTCCCTGTGAAGGTCACATCTGAAAAGATTTTAAAGGTGCGTGGTTTGGAAATTTGTGAGAAAAAAATTCACCAAATAACTTTCTAAGCAGATCTGGAATTTGTTGCAACAAACGTCAGCACCTAGTAAACCCTTGAACGAAGACTACGCGCACTGCATTAGCACCTTAGCTGAAATGACATCAGCCTGTGTTGAAATATTCCACAGAGTTGGGGAACTATTGACAGTCAATGAGAGCAGAGACCCTTTGAAAGAGGCTGATGCTCTTCAAAAGTAATTAAATAATTTAGATTATTCGATAGTAAAGAAAGTGCCAAATGAAGATGCTTATGGCATAAAAAAAAAGAAAAAAATGCACAGAAAATAATGTTTTTAAAATAATTTTTAGGCTGACGATCAACCTGATATTCTTATTGGAGAGGACAGCTACCCTTTTGTGTGACCGATTGAATCAGACACACGGTGATGACGCACAGCCCATTATCACTAAAGTCTTTTTGGAAGCTTCCAATAGCAGCACCTACATTCAAGATGCATTCCAGCTGCTCATGCCTGTTTTGCAGCAAGCAGCTTTACCATGATTCCTAATGCCTTTCATTACTGCATGAGCTTGCTTCAAAGAGTTTAACTTCATTAATATGTAAACTATCATTGAAATAATAAAAATGTTAATTATTGGTAATCTTATCTCTTTATGTTGAAATTTATTAAATTTAACAGAATCATTTGAAATGAGCAAAATTAAAGTTCTTCAGGCTGTTCTAGTGTTTTCCTCTCTTGTTGCCCAGAGGGGGCTGCTGAAGTTGGAAAGGTGTGTTTTCGACAGCAAGCGTAGGAGTTGGGATGGCTCCTGAAAATCACAAATTATCATTTCCATTACAAAAAATTAAAAAAAAAATTAAAAAATACAGGTTAATGGTGAGAAGGTTACTCTTGCCAAAAGCTAATGAGTATTAGATCTACTGTATTGGAAAGCACACATATAATTATTTGTTGGCATGCTCACCAAAAAGTTAATCTACTTCCATGAGGATAGACCTATAATGGAACACCACAAGAGTTAAGGTCCTCTCGTCCAACGAACTACTCAAAATTAAGAGGTAATTTAATTCAACATACCAAAACCGAGGTTTGGCGTAAAGCTCTGGCGAGAAGGAGCAGGCACTGGGGCAACAATGTTTGCGCTGCTTTGAACATCTTAAGAGAGACAATAAATAATTTTTGTACAAATAAATTCATATCAGCGAATTACTGCTGAAAAGAGATGGACCAGTCTGGAATTGGGACACCCCGGCATGTGAACTTTGCTTGCTTCTTTGCAACTGTTGGAACACATCAGTCGAGTCATGGGTGATCTGCTGCCTCAGTATGGCATACTGCTCTTTCTTCTGCTCAATGTTGCTGTGTACCTGTTGTAATTTGCTAGCCACAGCAATGAAAATCTCATGAAGACGTTTCACAGTCTGAACAAGTTCTGTTTTACAAAAGAAAAATTATTGGTTGGTAATTTGATGAAATTAACAATCATGCACACACCCTCTTTCTTCAAAGTAGTATTCTGGGTGGTGCACTGAACCACTCTCTCGACACTGTCCACTTCTTGACTAATCAATTTCAACTCCTCTTCAATCTTCGAAACTACTTCTCCAAAATAATTATCAGGCTCAAAATGTTTATCTTGCATGGAATGGGCTATAATTTGAGTTTGTTGCGCCATTTCGGCGTGCTTAATTGTCTGAAAATTTGAAGGAAAATTATGTTGCCGAATATAAATTTTATTTTATTTGGATTATTTACCCTGTCTGCTTCACCCTTCAACTTTTTGGCCTGGAAGGAGTAATTCTGGATATCATTCCTTATGCTGAACAAACTTTGCTTGATGCTCTCTATATCTTCACTGGCCCGCTCTGAAGGGCGGCACGAGGATCTGGCTATATCAGAGGAAATGTTTTTCTGCTGCTTCACAAAGTTTTTGAACTCCTCGATGCACTGCAATATTGGCTGAGGCAGATCTTGGTCCATGACTGCTTTGTCTTGCTTTTGCTCATTGCCTAACAAAATTTGCTTTAGTACTCATTCAAAAGAGGGCAACAGATTTACTTCCAAGGCCTCCTGAAAGAGAAGCAAGAGTTACAGCTTGGCCTCCAAGGCCTGTGAATGCTGGAGTGGCTGTGGAAGCAGAAATTGCGCTTGTTGGTACAGCTCCAAAAGCAGGTGGTTTAGCACCAAATAGGCCACCAGAATTTGCAGTGCTTGTAGCGCCTAATGCAAGTGGCATTTATTTAGCAAAAATAGTAAAAAAAATCGGACTAGAGTCTTACCAAATAGCCCGCCACCAAGACCACCTCCAAGACTTGGTTGTGATGTTAAGGTTTGTCCCCCAAATCCTATAGTAAATAAATTTATTGCAAAATACATAAAAAAAATTATTAATTTAAATATTTTACCTCCAAAATTTAATCCTGCAGTCAATGTGCCTGTTGCCGCGGGTGTAGCCGATGCTCCAAATAATGATGGAGCTGAGGAAGTTGGAGCCCCAAATGATGGTAAACTGGTAGCAGCACTGGCAGGGGCTCCGAAAGAAAATCCAGTTCCTGCCGAAGTTGTTGGAGCTCCAAACGTTGGCGCCACGGAGGCAGCAGGTGCTCCAAAGGTAGGTGCAGATGAAATTGGAGCTCCAAAACTTGATATTGAAGAGGCCGGGGCCCCAAAGCCGGGTACTGTTGAGGTAGCAGCACCAAAGGAAGGTGCGCCAGTTGCTCCGGCAAAGGACAATGGAGCTACAGAAGCTGTGGGCTGCGAACCGAAGTTCAACCCTGTCGAGGGAGCTGAAGAGGCCGGAGCCCCGAAGGTTTGCTGAGGATTTGCTGCTGGCGCGGATCCACTGAGATTTATATTTAAATATATTACATATTCACAATTGTAATTATTTTTATTTTTTTATTGCAGTTCATTCCACTCACAATGAAAAGGATGAAGTTGCAGCACCAAAGGCCGGTGGGGCTGATGTTGCGGCCGGTTGGCCAAAAGGAAAACCCAAAGACATCGTTGAAATTGTTATTGAGATGGAGGATTAATTTTTGCCTTTACGTTAAATGTCTAATTTCATAAAAATAACAATTATTTATCTTCAAAACTCAAAAATCTTCATGTGCGCCTATTGTTTACAATTTGTGCCGCCGCCGCCGTCCACCGGCCGCCATTGCTGGAACAAGCGCCAAATTTTCAAAAACAGCTTTTAAAATGACATGTGTGTGTCTGTAGTTCTGTACTGTCTGTGTGTGTTTTTTTCCTTCTTTTTTTGAATTTTTGCACACGAAAAACGAACACGCAAAAATTTTAAGTCAATTATTAATTAGAACAACATAGTGCATTAATTTGTAAAAAAAAAACACAATTTTATTGATAGATTCGCTCTTCCCGCCGTTGATTTTTAGACGTTGCTTGTACCTTGAATGGCCATCGCTAGGTGGGGCTTGTAGCTTCGATTCACGTTCAATGTTTAATAAAACCAGATGTTTCAAGTTTGTGTCAAAATCTGACTTTTCGTTCTTGTAAAACTTTGTTTTACATTGTGTTTTGCGGTCTCGCGAGCGCGCTAATTTTTATTACGATAGTTCAACTTTTGTCAAATTACCAGAGTGAAGAAAAATAAAATAATACAGTTTAACTTTGGTGATGCGAGGAACAGCACGGAATCTGGGCACGGAAACCTGCAACCCTTCCAGCACCCTACGTTGATCTTCAAGTTGACCCAGGAAAAAAAATCAAAAAGTTCACTTCACTAGGATTTCTTCAATCAGGCTAAAAAATGTCGACTGTCAATGGAAGAAACAGCTTAAGTCAAGATCAAACCGAACCGTCTATGATGGACGTCATTCGACTGCCCAAGGTAAAAAAAGAAAAATAGATACATACACGTAATTTTCCAGCAAACAGCAAACCCTAAATTTTTATCGATTTGATGATTTTGTATATTTTAATTCGGATCCTCTTCTGTCGCCTAATCTTAAAATTCTGTTCAGTGTCCACCGAAAAGAATTAGAATTAAACACTGATCGTTTGGTTGGGAAATGAGATGGGAAATTAAATTGATAGTTGAAGAAGGCCGCATTATAATTATGTGTAACAGAGGATCCTGCCTCCCTGCTCTTGAAATAAAAGGGAGAGGGAAACTCGCCAAACAACGAATGAGAGTGTCAAATGAACAAAGAAAGAAATTGTGAACTCATAAATGCCTACGCTCCAAAATTGATGGCCCTTGTGCTGACAGCACCTGACCTTAAGTATAGCTTCACCATGACTCCAGAGGTGAGCAACCGCCTGATTACTGATTTGACCAAGGGAAAAATCCTTCGGCAGCTAAAGAAGTTCCAATTTGGCTCCCACCTTGAGCAACCCGCTGAGCTGCTCCAATTTCTGCTCCATCTACCAGTCCACGCTCCTCGACTCGAAAAAATGGAGTGCTTTGGAGCTCAAATGCTGACCTGGTCTTAAAACTTTGTATTCAGTTTCCACTTAAAATGATATTAACGTAGGATGGGGTGCAAAATTCAGCACATGTGGTCAAATTTTCCCTCAATAATACATAATACAGCTCGCTTCAAGTTCAACAGGAAACACGTACAAGTTTATACTAAATTATAACATATTATTCTTCATTTTTCCAATAATAGTCTTAAGCATTCCAATCAATCCTCATCAACCTGATAATTGTGTGGGTAAGGAGAACTCCTGGCATCAGAGTGTAAACAAAGTTTTCAATGGCATTGAGTTCTTGAATTGGAGACCTGTGAATCTGCTTCCAGAACAAAGGGCCTTGCAATATGCAACTGCCTTTATTCTCTAGAAAAATAATTTTTGCAAAAATGTGACAAATTCAAAGATTAAATATTGAAGCCAAAGTAATTGACAAATAAATGCTAGGCTTGCAAATTTAAAGTAAAAATATTTTACTAATTCTTCTACACATAGAGCTTGCATGTAGCCGTCCGAAAGCACAAAATTGATGCAAATAAAAAAAAATGTCAAGGGTACTTTCCTGATTTTTCCAAATAGTTTCAATCTGAGATCTTCAATTAAAATTTGGTTCTTCACTAAATCATACTTCTAAAATATTCACAGGCTGTTCCCCAATACTAAACTGTTTTTCAAGTAAGAATTCAGATATTTGGCCGTGGTTGAAAAAATATAGCTTGTGGTAACTTTTTTGATTATATTATTTGCATTATTTCAAAACTACCGTTTGCGACATTCTCAATTTATATTTATTGTGATATTTTATGTACCAAATATTTCTGGCTGCTGAAAGTAATCCATCAGGCTTAATTATGGGCAATTATTTAGCTCAGAAGAAATTTGCCTAGTCGAGCGCGCTACTTGTTGGCGCCTCTGGTCCCTTCCGAGGGGCAAAGTGTGTCAATCTGTGGCAGGCGATCGCGAGAAGGGGTCGATAGGGGCGCGCATGTAGCCGAGGCAGTGCACCCTCGCGCTGCTCTGGAGGGAGGCAGTGCGATGGAGGTGTCGGCCGAGGGCGGCTTGGAGCGCCGCGGCTCCGTGTACGAGCGCATCCGTTGCTGGCTGCTCACCCAGCCAGCAACCCACGACGACCACTACAAAGGGGAGCCCATTGGCAAAAAGGTTCGTTCGCCTCTCGACTTAATCAATGAATTAACTTACGCACAAATTTCGGTCGGGATAAATTGGAAATCCCACTCTTCCCACTGGCGCATTGCAGCTGAGGGATTGTTACGAGGCGCCTTTAAGCGCATAGATAGATTGCTTCTTATTACACATTTTATTGTGTCTCAACTATTCGCAATTCTTTTAGGGCGTTTTCTCCTCATCGTTATTATAAATTTTGCAATTTTTAATTATTCAAACTAATTATTCAAATAATTTAAATATAAATTTACCATAACACTATTGATTGTAGAAGTTGGATTTTATTGCAATTTTATTTTGCTGAATTTTTTAAATTTGGATTCAAAACTTTGAAGTTACAATAGAGAAAGACAAGTACATGACATTATTTATTTTACTTAATGTGGTTTGTAGAAGATTAGGTCTTAAGTATGATACTGTGAACAAATACATTGAAATTTTAAAATCCTTGATGAAACTTAATTTTTAATTAAATTAAAATATTAATATTTTTTTTTTTAAATGATTCATTTAATTTTTAAAATTTGGACTTAACCAATCATTAGGTTTTTGTCTGTTTACATCCACCAGAAGGCCTCTGTAATCTGCAATAATTATTGATTAAAAATATCTATGGAGAAATTTAAAAGTTTATTTAAAGCAATAATTTTTTTTACACTACAACCTTAAATTTAAAAATTAATTACGGTTTCACTGCGCAAAGATGAAGAATCCCCACTGACTTTCAATGTTTACAGAGATAATCTAGAAAAAAGTATGTTGGTCGTGAGCATAATCTGCTAGTTGTCATTATCAAATTCACCTCTCTTGAGGTCTGTTATCGCCTTGCATGTTATTCAAAATAATCCCATTAAAAACTAAACTTTCCGTGCGCCGCTATGTCAAGTAGAGCACTCGCTACAAAAAGCATCCCTGTGAATGAAGCCATTAAACGCCGCCGGCTTTTCATATATGTGCACATGATATTATTAATTATAACGAAAAAGGCTGGTGCGCTTTCAAGCAGCAATTCCGGCGCTTTCTTCTACTAATGATGCTGTACGAGTTGCGCCATTTACCTCATTACGGGGCTTCCTGGGGGCTTCTTTCTTGCCGTTCCAACCCCCCTGGAGATGAAATTGTTCTCGAAGCTTCTTGTAAATACACCCCAAATCTCCTATAACTTTTCATCTCTTTCATAAAAATGATCCAATTACCTTTCTTTTATATTCTTTAAATAAATATTATGCAGTCATAGTTTTATCAATTTTTGAAGAGTTTGATGTATGGAGGATTATGGATTACATAGATTTATGTTGGAAGAAGAAAGGCTGAATCTTTGAATTTTCGAAGTCAAGCATATCATGAATAAATCACAAAACCAATTGGTTTTTGCCGTATTCTTATTTTTTATCACGTTTCCCTTTGGCAGAAAATCAATCCGGAAGAAACTGCGGTCATGTCATAAAGTCGCAAAGCATAGCATCTCTTCTAAAACAGAAATAAAAAGCAGTTCCACGCAAGTAGCCTTAAGATTCTACTCTCAACTTTTGGTGGCAGCCTAGTTTCTTTCTTTCCGGCCACCCTATCCAGATTTTATCGCTCTTGAGCATTTTTTTTTTATTTCTCGGAAAAAGTATAGCCTCATGGTCCGTCTACTCCGTCTCCTTTGAAAGCTTTGCGAATCAAAGACTTTTGCGCGTCTCCCTTTCTCCACTGCTACGAAACGAAGCCAAACAAAGGTCTATAGCGGCGCCCCTTTCAGAGTGGTGACTTTGCGGTCAATCAAACTTTTATAACCTCTGTTTAGCCTCTACTGGTGCAACAAAACAAGTACAATCTTTGAAAAAGATTATTTTAAATTTTCGCTTTAAAGTTTTCAAATAATCGCTGCATTTCTTTTGATTTATTAAATAATTTATTTGGATAAATGATGAGAATGTACTAAAAGTTTGCATTGTAATTATGCAGCCCGCACAACCTTCTTGTTAGCCAGGAAGTATAAACACACTTGCTCAGGTAAACACCACCAATAAGTTGGATCAAGCAAGCGCTTTGCCACCAAAATCTTCATTGTCAGATTTATAGAAATAATGCATACAGGAAGCTACAGAAAGAAGCCTAAAATAGTCCTACCGTTGAAAATATCCAACGTCATATTATATGGTCGTATGTATTTCTAAAAATATTTCGTCGTCTAAGCTCGGATTGCATTAATTTTTCCCTTTCCTTCTTTACTGTTGTTACGTCATATCATATTTTCTAGCACTAAATATGATATGATTAACTGCAGAAATTCAAATTACAATTTAGGCAAATTCGTTTGACGTCACGCGAGCTGGAAAATTTTAATTGCTAATAAGTGCCTTGACGTTTTAACGAGGCCGTAATTTCTGCGCCGGGACAAAGGAGCGCTGGCAAAAGAAGACGCGGCTCCTCGTCGACTTCGCCTTTTTAATTCTTCCTCGAGCTCTATCTCGTCGGCCTCCATTGTTCGCTCTATCAATTTGCAACCCTTTTGTCTCCAACTGCTGGCCGCCGTCCAAAACGCTGTTGTTGCTTCCAGGCCACAATTGCCAACCTGTGTGTATGTGTGTGCGACACAGCGAAAAAACGCACAAACCGACTATCTTGAAGAAAACAATGCAAAGCGCCACTCGTTCTCGCTTCCTAACTCAATTCCAAACGGCGTCGTTTTTCAAGAGGGAGAGAGCGTTTTTTTATATGCGCTGGTGAAATATCTTGTTTTCCTTGCAATTTGTAAAAGCGTTTTCTTTTCTCGGTGGAAATTTATCGTTTTATCTGCTACACTTGTTCCTATATTCTGACTTTAAAATTCATGTCATAAAGTTGTCTGAGGAAATTTATTTTTATGGTAATTGCTTTATAAAAATGTTTCATATAACGAAATGGGACAATTAGGAGCAATAAACCATTATCTTTATTGTGCGAGGACACTGCGAGTTTTTATTGTCTAGCAAAAGTTGGCATGCAGAGCCAGATAGTAGAGTAAAAATTATTCTGAGAAAAATTTGAAATAAAAGGGGGTTGGAAAAATATGACACAGAGGTCTAAACAATTTAAGTTTGCTCTACAAAGATTTTGTTTTCAAATTCCATTTTTGTTGTTTTCCCAAACTAAAACTTGATCTAGATAATTATTTCCCAAAATATAGAGCAATTTCCAACTGTAATTACAGTTTAGGGTTGCTCGGTGACATTAATTGCTCAAGTTTCGGGCTGCGTCGAGCCGTCAATTAGGCTTGCGCCCGAAGGTGCCATTAGGTGCTTGTCTGGTTGTCAGCACGCGACATCGCTTGCGTCCTAGAAACAACGTTTCCGCAAAGTCCAACGTTTTGCCTATTGCACGAGTTGAGTGACGTCGCCCTCGCGTCTTCCTCGCTCGCCTTCCCATAGGAGGGATCGATATGTTGGTGCGCGGCCAAACCGCTCCATCCACCCACCCACTCGTTTTGCTGCGCTCCCTGCTCACTTAGCCTGGCCGTATCAGCCTTTTATTTTTCTTATCATCGATGCTTTTATTAACTTATGTAAATCGCTTGTAAAACGCACCCCTGGGCAGAGAGAGCCGACACAAGGCTATGATACCTAAGCAAGTCTTATATTTTATCGTAAACCCCTTTCGGAGACTTTTATTAAGCGCCGTCTCATCATGAAATATATTGGGCGTGAAAAACGTGTCCTGAATTTTGTCAACGTGGCGTTTTTTTATTTTTACATTAAAAAAAACAATCTTGCTGTAATGATAAATTTTGGCGTTTGTGTCCACAGGTGGAAGGCGTTCGCATGCTGGATCGCTTCAACGTGAAAAAGTCGTTCGTGGGCGTCCTCTACCTCACCGCCACTCATCTCATTTTCGTCGACCCCGAGAGCAAGAAAGAAACATGGGTAATAACTCGCTGCCTTTTACCATCTTACAATTAAAATCGTAGCCAAGAGCACGTTCTTGCGCAATATAAATGCAAATTAGCTACAAGCGGTTGCAAGATTGTGTCGGCACTGCTCTTCAGTAAATGACTCATAAAATCTTAAGTGTTTCTCTTGCAATTTATTTTATGAAAAACAGTTAACTAAAGCTCCATGATTTTTAATTTTAATTGCTCAAATTTTAGCAGATTACAATGAAATAACAGTGTGTATAATCACATAAATTTAACATAAAAATATTTTTCTAGATCCTTCACATGCACATTCTATCTGCCGACAAGCTTCCCTTGACAACTATGGGCTCACCCTTGCAAATAAGATGCAAGACCTTCCTTTCCGTAACTTTTGTTTTGCCCAAGGAGAGAGACTGTCAGGAAATTTTTACAACTCTCCAGCAGCTCTCAAAACCTGGTAAATTATTATTATTAATTAAAGTTTCATTGCTGATTCTTTTGCATTTACAGTTCAGATAGAAGAACTGTACTGTTTTGACTACACAGCAAGCACGGAAGAAGTGGCTAAGCACGTTGGTTGGAGTTTTTTCGATCTGCAAGCAGAATTTCAACGGATGCGAGTGCCTAATGAGGCGTGGAGTCTGACTTTACTCAACAAAGACCACGAGGTATTTTTCATAATTTGCTTTATTTAGGACTGTCAGCATCAAATCCAGCTTTGGAGAATTTGCAAGTAGCCATGAATGAAAGGAGCGTAGACGGAGTCGAATATCGATACGAGGTAGCGGACGTAAACACCATTCATGGTCCACGCTACGGCCAATATGAACAGGGTCCAGCCTTTGGGCTTCTTTTGTTGCCTCTCTTCCCCCATGTGCAGCGCTATTTGTAGCATGGCCAATGAGTAGAGAAAGATTTGCTTGGCGTAAAAGATGCAGACGATGAAATAGAAGTACACAGCAAACTTCAGGTAGAGAAGAAACTGCATTAGGAAGAACAGCAGCCACAGCAGCATTTCAGAAATGAGCGTTTTCTTTTGAGGAGGAGTCTCTTGGAATTTGTCAGATTTTTCCTGCTGATCTTCCTGCTGAATAGTAGGCACCATTCCATGTTCCTCTTGATGACCTCCAATTTGATCGTCGAGTGGCTCAACTCCCAAACTCGAACTGAATTTATTTTCATCAAAATTTTTAGCTTCTTCCTGAGCATGTTCCAACTCCTGCTCTCTAAACTCCTCCATTGTCACAACTTCCTTCCTAGGCTCTTGATTTGCAAGCGACGGCTCCTCGGGACGCTCATTCTTGAATGTTTTTTGTGAGCTTTTTTTATCTGACACTTCCTCGGAGACTTCTCCCATTACTTGTTCATCAGCCAAGTTTTCTTTTTCCACCTTTAATCCTTCAGAAGAGCTCATTATTGACGATAGCTCCAGCAAGCCAGAAATAGTCTCCGTATTTGATTCTCCAACTCGATCTTCTTGCAGCGTGCTAATGGATCCGAGACCTTGAATTATTTGAGTTTTTTCAGGTGCAGCTTCTGCAGTGGGTATATGGAGCTCAAGTTTTTTTGCACTGGCCTCTTCCTCTTTTTCATTTGTCTCCACTTGTGTAAAATCAGGTTCTTCTTTGTCTTCTTTGATTTTATCCTGGGAACTAGCCATAGAAATGTTGATGGATTTCCTAGGAGGTTGCTCTGCAGCAGTTCCGGCTTGAAGATCAAATGTCTCAACGAGCTTGGCTGATTCCTCATAATTCTTAGACTCTGCCTGCAGCTCTTCACGTGGACCATTGGGAAATTTTAAATCAGGATCAATAAAACTCTCTGTATTGGCATTTTCTGCTACAACTAATTCTGAGACCTCATAACCATAGCTATCTTGAAAACTGTGTACTGTTTTTTCAAATTCTTCTTGCTTCTTATCTTCCAGCTCACTTTGAATTCCTGATATCAACAGCTTTTTAGACTCTATTTGCAGTTCTTCTTGGTGGCCTATGAGAATTTGAGAATCAGGATCATCCAAACTCTCTTCTTTGATTTTTGCCAATTCAACCGACTCCATTATTACCAAATCCGTTGGCAAATTGAGCTCTATTTTCCCATTATTTTCATGCACTTGATCTTTCTCCTCGTCAGCTAGCTCTTTTGGTGAAAGCTTTTTGTGATATGCTTGACTGGAACGCTCTTCTTCCTCTTCAGCTTCAGACAAATCAATTCTCTCGGAAGAAAGCGCCTGCTTGTCTTCTTCCACTGCATTCAGTGTTTGCTTGTAACGCTCATAAAACTCTTCTGACTCAACTCTTTTTGTTGTTTGCTCATCCAACATCTTGACCATCCGTTCATTCAGCCCTTCATTGGACTTGTCAGTATTTGCTGATTGTTCCGTAGTCAAGTCAGAAACTGCTCTTGAAATTTTATGATCAGCTATTTCATTTAAATTACTAGCAATTTCTATTTTTGGCGTTATAGATGAAGTTTCAGGTTCCGGCTCGTACTTTGAAGTTGCCTCATCGTGATGTGGCCAAGAAGAAAACTGATCACTATTTAATTTCTCATTTGTGACGCTGGACCCAATTCTGCTCGTCCGATGAATGGGGCTGCCACGAGAAATGTTCTCACTGCTTATTTCACCCACATTGCTTTTACTGGTAGCTTCGCTTATGTTGACTGTCCTTTCTTGGGAATATTTGCTTTGTAGCTCATCACTTTGAATTGCTTCGTCTGTAGATGCTTCGAGGAAGTCCGTTATTTCTGGCCCTTTTTCTATATCAGCTGTACTTCCAAACAAATTTATATCTTCTTTTTCTTCTGTTATACGCGCCGATGTGTTGCCTTCTTCTGCATATTCTGACTGACCTTTGTACCTCTTCAGAGCTTCGTCTTTTGGTGAGTTATCATTTTGTCTCATCTGGCTTGAAAGTAGCACCATGGACTCAGCAGTCGGTCCTTCTGTCTCATCTTGAACGCTGGAATATTTTCTCAAGCTTTCGGCAGTTCTTTTTCCAAAATGCTCGCTTGTCTCTTTTATTTGCAAATCTTGTGCTTCTACAGGATCAAAAACTTTGGGCCTTGTTTCATTTCTAGTCTGTTCATTTTCATCAGTTGCGTCAGGAGCCATTCCAGAATCACTCCCAAGACGGAAGGCTTGCTGTCTCTCTCTGGGTAACGCTCCACTCATTTCAGGCACATCTTTTTGGGCCTCTTGTTTTTCACTCAAAGTTTTCCTGGTTCCATCGTCTGCACCAGCACTTTCCTTCCTGCCTTTGAGACTTCCTGTTTCTGATGCAACTCTGCTTGCCCTTCCGTCTTCATTAATTCTTGGCGTTACTTTTGTTGTTTGGTTTTGATCATTTAGGTGAACTTCAACATCTCTTATTGTTAAATCTGATGCTTGGTTTTCAAGTGTTAAAGGGCCAGCAGAACTTGCTTCAAAATCAGCACTGTCGTTTCCCTGCAGATACGTCCTCGCACTTGGGATTCCTTTTTCATATGGACTTTTCGCCTCAGTAGTATTAATTTCTTGTCCAGATACAACTAATCCATACTTGTCCGTTGAAATTAGCCTTCCTGTGTCCTCACTCTTCAATATCTGATCCTCACTCTGCTCTTTTTCAAATGGCTTTTCTCTAGTATTAGACTCAATTGGAGCCTTCATTATTTCTATTCCTTTATTCTCTGAAGTGACTTGCTCAATTTCATGTACAGCATTTTTGGGAGATGATTTGCTCTGCTTTATACCACTTGATTTTTCACTTTCAACCTGATTTAGAGACGACACGCTAGCAGATTTTTCAACTGTCTGCGTCCTCGGAGAGCTTTTTCTTGGTTCCCTCTCAGCAGGATGGGGAAAAGACGCTGGGACTTGGCTGGCTCTTTTTTTCATAGAGGAAATCCTTCTTCCTGCCTGTGAGGAGGAAACCTCATTGGACACGTTGAAAGCGGACTTGCTCTTTTCCTTCAAAAGCGATCCCTTTTGTGACAAACGAGTTCCGTCAGGCAGATACCCACCAAGGGTCAGGTCGCTCCCTCTGTCGTAACTAATGCTGTGCATTTGATCAGAACTGCGCCACGAAGGAATTCTGCTGCCTGAAGTCACCGCTGTGGCACTATCTTCTGGACCATCTCTAAACTCAGCCAAACCTGTAGTCGAGTCTCTCTTTTTTTGAATAGCACTCTTCTTGTTCACTTTGTTTGACTTGGAAGATTTTACTGATTTTCCACTTTTTTTCGAAATTGACTTTGAAGGAATTTCGTCTGTCTGGCTTTCCTTCAAAAGCTTTTCCTCCAATTCATTCAGCGTAGGCTCTTCGATAAATGGCTTCTTCAAATCAACGTCCACTATGACCTTCCCTGTTGTTGCTGAAAATATTCAAAATGTTATTTAATTTAAGTCAAACCAGAATAATAAATTGGTCTTACGATGGAGCTGCAAATGCATTGTAAATTCCTCATCCTTTTGGACCATCACGGTCATGTTCATTTGTTTCTCTTGCTCCATGTTTGCATCTGATTTATCAGGTGCCGACATCTTTGTAAAATTATAAAAAATCGCAACAATAAGCCTTATTTATGCATACAACAATGACATTTTTATTTTGGCATTCAACATTTATAGTGTGGCAACAATGTGTTTCAGCTATGCGACACATACCCTCGATACCTGTATGTTCCTGCGTCAGCATCAACCTCTGTGCTGATGGGTTCGTCAAGCTTCAGGAGCAAGGGCAGATTGCCTGTGTTGTCATACCTGCATACCAATAAGGTTTGATACATTATTTTTTCGTAATTTTTCACTATATATCTCACTTATTAAAATTGATTAGGCTGCCATATGTCGATGTAGCCAACCTCTGTCAGGATTTAGCGCCCGGTGCTTAGAAGATGAACAAATGCTCAACTGCATTCTGAGAGCCAACCCAAATTCAAAGTTCATGTATGTTGTTGATACCAGACCAAAGGTATATTAAGCTTATTTTTAAGCATGATTAAAATCAAATAATAATATCATCCTCACAGATTAATGCAATGGCCAATAGGGCTGCTGGGAAAGGGTACGAGAACGAAAACTTCTATGAGAACATCAAGTTCCAGTTCATTGGAATTGAAAACATTCATATAATGAGGAGCAGCTTGCAGAAGTTGCTTGAAGGTAGTATTTTAGAATGCCACAATGTAGTTTATTTTATTATAAAACCATATTATTTTTTTCAGCTTGCGAATTGAAGGGCCCATCAATGAATAATTTTTTGGGAGGCATTGAAGCTAGTGGCTGGCTGCGTCACATCAAAGCAGTTCTTGACACCTCTTTATTCATAGTACAAGCAGTACAAGAGGGAGTCAGTGTGGTGGTTCATTGCTCCGACGGATGGGATAGAACTGCCCAAGTCTGTTCACTTGCCTCCTTATTCCTGGACCCATTTCACAGGACTCTGCAAGGCTTTCAAGTAATGATTATTTCTTTTTATCACCACAAACCTGACACTTTACGTTTAGGCGCTGATCGAGAGAGAGTGGTTAGCCTTCGGCCACAAATTTGTCGATCGCTGTGGTTTTCTGGCTGGTGACCACAAAGAGGTGTCTCCCATTTTCACCCAGTTCTTGGAGTGTGTGTGGCAACTGACCAACCAGTACCCACTCACTTTCCAGTTCAACGAGCGCTTTCTTCTGGCTCTGCACGACCATGTGCAGAGTTGCCAATACGGCACCTTTGTTGGGAACTGCGAGAAAGATAGACTTGATCTTCGCCTGCACGAACGAACCTATTCCCTGTGGGGTTACATTGCCAACCACATGAATGAATTCATGAACCCTCTTTACGCTGCTGAGGAAAACACGGAAGTGCTCATCCCTAACCTGGCACCCCAAAACATTAGGTACAATAATATAATATTGCTTGACAATTTTTTCTTAAACCTTAAACGTCCTATTTCACTACTTTCAAGGTTTTGGAGAGGCATGTATTGTCGGTTCGAGAACGGTGTCCACCCTCGTGAGGTGCTTGGTGATATGCTGTTAGCTATTTGTGATCACAGTGCCTCTCTTGAGGATCACATTCGCCTGTTGAACAAGGTATGAGCTATTTAATGTTTAAATATAGATTAACTTAATATGAATTCTCTTTGTACTTATATAGAGAATAGAAACCCTTCGATCAAAAATTGATGCTAAGAAGAAAGTAGAAACCAAGAAAGAAGAAAAAATCGAGGACTGCGTTGATAACAAGACTTCGTATGATAAGGGATCACCTGAGCAGGATGAGGTAAAAATTACAAAAATTGAGGAAAATTGTTGAATTTCTTTTTAAAATATTGTGGTGATTTCTTTTTAGGAAGTATTCAGAGATGAAAAGGTTGAGATTACCGTTACTGCAGAGCAACTGGCCTCTGAACTCAAGTCTGTGGCAATTGAGTGGAAAACTCTGAGGAATGTGCGCGAATGCAACTGCTCGACACCATTTGATCATTCCAGTAGAAAGGTAATCTCATCCGTAAAAATTAATACATTTTGTACTGAATCTCATCATTAGTGCCACTGCTGGAAGTGTGGGGATGTTTTCTGCACTAGATGCATCGACAAGCACACTGCTTTGCCTGGCCACGACAGTCAACGGGCTGTCCCTGTGTGCAGGACTTGCTTCAGAGAACTCCGGAGAACATTTTCAGTAGACTCAGCCTAAAGACTTTTGATGTACCTTGAGGTTAAAATCTACATTCCTTTGCGAACATATTTTTTGTGCATTTCTCCTTTCAATTAAATTAAATTTAGACCTTTTTTGCCATAAAGGTCATGTGATGCAGTTAAACTACTAATTATCTGTATTTTAAACATAATATTATTTTTGTCTATTTTGGTGCTGTAATAATTGTCAAAATGTCATGTGATTTTAAGACACTAAATTGAAAAAAAAAATGGGAATGAATTCAAAATTGAAACTCAAAAGTTAAAATAAATACAACAAATATATTCCAAAATACCAAAACAAAGTATTACTCGCAAATATAATCCAAAAATTTATGAACTTTCCAAGGTATATTTTAGAGCTTTGACTTTTTGTCTAAATTCTCCACAACTTCAAGTACAGTCTTCTCAAGCAATTCCAAGTCTGCAGGTTCAGACATCTGATGAGCGCCCTCTTTTCTAAAGATGACATCAACGTCTAGTGATGTAAGAGCAGACATGATTTTCAAGCTCTGTTTGAAAGGAACGTCTGGATCCTAAATAGGGTTAAATTCAAATTAATCTCAAATTTTCAATTTTTTTTTCACTTAATTTCTACTTACTTTGACTCCATGCAAAATCCTCACAGGTGCTGATATGGATATTGGTTTGTCAAGATCTAAGTGATGCGTGATACTATCGTCTCTGAATCCTTTCCTTAAAAATATGTTTCCATAATTTTTCTTCAATATCAGCAGCTCCCCGTTGTCTAAAACTTCCTTGTGCTGCAAGAAGTGTTAAAATTGTAATTTTTCTTATGTATCTTATATTCCTGAGTATTTACTTTGTCATCAACTGAATTATAAAAGAAGTCGTAGTAATACTTGAAAAAGTTAATAGCTGGCGCAATCATGATTATTGCTGCAACCTTCTCAGGTGACTCCATTGCCATTTTCATAGACAGCTGCGGTAAAAGATATCAAAGTTTTAATACGTTATTTACCAAATTTAATAATTATTACCCATCCTCCCATGCTCGAACCAATGAGAAGCGCCTTTTTCTGCACTAGTTGATGCACAACTATTCTCAAATCTTCAAGCCAGTGTCCAAAAAGGACATTTTCAAAAGAGCCTGGGCTGTGACCAAGACCTTCAAAATCAAACCTGATAGAAATATTAATTTAAATATTCTATTTGCATTGATAATAAACCTGACATAACCAAGACCATGGTTCCTGCATAGTTCATCCAGCATTGTGGCCTTAAACCCTTCCATCGTGGACATGAAGCCTGGAACAAACACAACGGTTGGCCTGTTTAGATCTTTTGGCTCTACTTTTCTGTATGCAATCTTCCTGTCTCCAGAAATTTGCAGAAACTTCAGGTCTGATTCTGAGCTCATTGGGCGCATTTGTATTGACATAGATGGTTTGGCAGTCCGGCGCATACTTTGGACCGCCGATGACTTGCATAAGCTGGGCACTAATGTGGCGAAACGAGACATCTCTTTATCTTTTTCTCAAGCAGGCAGTAAGAAATCTAAAATTAGACCATTGTCAGTAAAATGAAGAAAAAGTATAATTATATTATAAATCATTTAAAAATAATTAAAAATGAAAAAGACAAATTATGTACTGCAGTTAAAAAAAATCACTAAGTTTCCATTTTCTTATTTTTTTTTTACATTTAATTGTGAGAAAATACAGCAATGGAAACTGATAATTTGCAAAACACTAATATTGTCTCATTCATATTATCTCTGTTAATAAAATATTGCTGATAAGATTCTCATAATAAAAACTACATAAAGGGAGCGATGTTTTTGCTACAATATTTTGTTATATTAATTAATGCTGATCTTTATGCTATTATAACGCAATATGTAATTTTACCCTAATTTAAATTAAATTTAGTATTTAAAAATAATTATATACAAACTATAGGAAAATTTGCCACTAAATGTGAATCATCTCTTGCTTGGCTTTCTCTGAAGGCTCTGAACAACCAAAATATCAAAACATGTAAAGCAAGGGGGCGTGGCCAGCTTACGTCAAAGTCACATGGTATTTGTTTACAACTGCGCGGCGTAAATATATCTTTGAGAGCAAAATTCGGCTCATACCAATTTGACGTCGCTTTCAAAGGCATTTTTATCTCTCAAGAGTGTGACATCTGACGAGTGCAAGTCATCATCGATGGCCGCCACGACGACGGCAATTTGCGTGGCCGCTGCGGCCGCCGGCGGTGCCATTCTTTGGATTGTACGAAAGTATCGCGAATGGCAGTGGGGCCGCTGCAGGTCCCGCCGCACCCTCGAAGGTCTCGTCTGCATTGTAACGGGGGCGAATGCAGGCATCGGACGCGAAGTTGCCAAGGACCTGGCTCGCAGGAAGGCCAGGGTCGTGGTGGCCTGCAGGAACATGGACAATGCCAGGAAGGCCATAGAGGACATCAGAAGAGAGGGCGTCCGATCTGGAGAGCTGGTCGGTGATTCTATAATCGATTTTTACTAACATATCATATTTATTTTTCTATTTTTTCTCAATTTAAATTTGTTTGTAAGTTAATTATAAATGACATTGAAATGATTTATGTTCTGTTTATTTTTAGATGCTTTATAAATAATTATACGAATTTTGGCCATTTTTATTGATTTATACAATTGAAATAAATATAATGTAAAGTCCGTTTGGACATTGACGCTCAGTCTATTATAAAAAATAAATGAATCAGTCAGCCCAGATTTATTTCTATATTTATCAATGCTATCAAAAAATATTACGTAACAAGACACCAATGGTTAGTTACATAATAATAATAATTATTGTTCCCGGCAAAATACTTTTTCCCATTTTTCATGTTTTTTAATTTGAACTTAAATTATTTATTGAAATGAATTTATTCCTTTAAGAGATACATAAATTATATTTTTCTTTTATTTTTAATATGAAATCAAGCAAATATTAAAAATAATAAATTAAATTCGACAAAGATATTTTCATTAAATTTATTTTTCAGATCCCTATGAAACTTGACTTGGCGTCCCTGGAGTCTGTCAGGGCCTTCAGCAAAGAGGTTCTTGACCAGTTCAGTGAAATCAATGTGCTGGTCAACAACGCTGGAGTCTACATTCCGATGGCCGAGAAACAAAAGACCTCTGACGGATTCGAGATCCACTTTGGAGTTAATCACCTTGGTCACTTCCTGCTGACCAACCTTCTTCTTGACACAATAAAAAAGTCAAAGCCGAGCCGGTATTTCTTTTTTCCTTAAGGTTTCTGTGATGTTTAACCATCATTTATAATTGTTAGCATCGTCACCGTGTCTTCGTCACTGCACGAAAAGGGCCAAATCGACTTTGACAATTTGCAGCTTGAGGACATGAGCCACATTGATCCCAAGAAGAGTCGTTTCAACCCTGGCTACTGCAATTCTAAACTGGCAAACGCCCTATTCAGCCATGAACTGGCTAAGCGCTTACCCGAGGGCGTTTCGACTTACGCTGTCTGCCCTGGTTTCACCCTGACCAACTTGTTCAAAAGCTTCAAGCCTAAATTTTATCACTACATCATGTTCTCCCCTGTCATGTTTTGGTATATGAGGGGTGCTAGCCAGGTAAAAAATAAACGAGAATAAAAATTTGATGTGATTAATTTTTTGTGTTATTAAAAGGGAGCGCAAGGTGTGATCAACTGCGCTGTTGCCGAAGAACTCGAAGGTCAATCTGGTCTTTTCTACAAGGATTGCAAGGTGTACCAAAGCAAGGCTGACTTCAGCCCTGAAATAACTGAAAAGCTGTGGCAGGTTAGCGAAGAGATGGTTGGTATTAAATAAAATAATGTCATGTCTAGAACTGATTAGGAATTTTTTCCAATTAATTTTCTATAGATTATAGAAAGCTTTTTTTATCTAGTGATGTAAATAGTAAAATAAATTGAGGCACAAATTTTTATCCAGTTTTACATTTCATCATTTATTATCTGATCCATATTGACATATAAAAGTTTTATTTACAAAAATGAAACATTTCCTTAATATCTGCCATTGAACGTGCAAGTCATTAATAATCCAGGGAGTGTATAATACGAATTGTGCTTTTCTTTCCTTTTATCTGGGAATCAATTGCAGAGAGGTAGGGGTGACAATATATCTTTTAACTGCATTAGGCGCTCTACTGTCTGCATATTTTCAATGATATTTGGACTTATTAATAACAGAGCCGGCTAATCAATTAATAAGAATGGAAGAATTGAGATTCAATCGCAGTATTAAGGCTTGCACGTTGCAACGAACGATCAATGAGCATATATAACAATCTCTGTGTGTCTCTAATGAATATAACTGCCTCTAAAAAGTAGTCATGCACACTCAACAGCTATGAGATAGATGACGAGTTTTGTGAATCGCCTCCTCGGACGGCTCCCTAGTTATGTGGAAAAGTCTGTCTTCCAAATAAAATCGGCGACGGCGGCAAAAATGACGTTTTTTTTTCTAAGATGTATCTTTTGATCAAAATCGCACTTGTCCTCTCCACAATGTAAGATGTTTGTTCTTTGGATGTGGAATTCTGTTGGCTGTGAGTGCAATTTGTTTGATATGCATTTGAACATAGTTTAATGTTCTAGCTTTGAATTTTCGGAAGGAACATAACTGGCAGCTATAAATTGCCATGATGGGGTTCTCGCATGCTCTTGAAGCAGCAGCACAGTCACATTAGTTTGCGCATCAGGCTCAATCTCTTGGCTGTGGAAAAGGACTAAATAGATCCGTTTTCTCCCCACAGTCTCGTGATATGAACCATTTTTCACAAAAAAATCGCATGCATTTTTCTTTCTAATAACGCTCTTGATAAGAGGCCACTGGTGCTCTTTTTGCTCCAGGACAGTCAAGGTTTTTCCATTGATTTTTGCAACACTCTTGATTTTGCGAAAACGGAAGGCAAACAAATCGTTGATTACACAGGTTTGCATCTCAAGTACAGTACAGTATGAACACTGAAATACAGATCTCATTCTCTTTAGTACCTTGTTTAATTGCTACGGACTTAAAATCTTTCAGTCAGTCATGGGTCTCCTCGTCTAAAATGTACAATACAACGTCACTGCATATTACGACCCTTATTGAAATTAAGCTTACAATAAATTAAAAAAGGCCACCCAACTGGGGGTGCACTTAAACTTTAGTTTTTACAAACTTTACAGGGCTCGTAGCACTTGCATATCCCTTTGAAAACTGTTGCGGCTGCAAAATGATATTTTGGCTTCGAAATATAGGCATAATGATATACGCTTGGGCTTTCTAAACCTTGCAACTAAAGGCTTGAAAATGATATGATATAAAGGGCTAGGTTTTCAGAGAAACATTCCCAAAAGAAGCAAGCAGTGGAACTCAAAGCATCTTTGCTGCAATGACTAGGACCGAAATTTTTACAAAGTTCTTCCACTGCTTCTTGTGATATTTTTCATTCAATCAGTCATAAAGCTCAGCATTGCTTGTTAAAAAGTGATGCACTCAGGCATAAACCATACAATCATCGGAAAAGGGCACTCGATTTTGGCCTCTCTAAAATAAATGATACACAGAGTTTTGGCATTTGATGAAAAGAGCAGCACAGCTTTGCAAAGAGATTTGGCGGAGCCCTGAAACTTTACCCTCCGGTTCGATTGGCTTTCAATAATTAATACACTTTTGATGAGCACTTCTCTCAATTATAGGTTCAGCGTCCAATTGCGCGCACATGATAATCAACTGCTTATATAATTAATTAATGCGAATCGCGACATAATTTTTCCATGTGTGGTATCACTTTTGCAAAAGATCACTTTGAAAGGGCGCGGGCCGGCACCGCGCGCCTAATTCGGCAGCACAAAAAGTTTGTTTTTCTGTCTTTCCCTCACACGTCCATTGATTCTCATTAGATCATCTCGGTAGTCCTAATGGGTTCTTCAGGCTGGCAGCTGACCACACGTGTCACGTGGTCACTGCCGGGCTTATATTATACATGGGTGGCGAGGGTGTTGCCTCTCTTGGCGCCGGTAGCCTGGATGAACTGCAGCGAGTTGGAGCTGGGCATTCGAGACTGCGTCAGCGGCGCCGCGATCGACCCGTTCCGGCCAACGGTGGCGCTGTACGCCGGAGGTGGAGGCTGCAAAGGTGGCGAAGACACCCTGCCAGGGGGCGACGTCATGCCTGCCGGCGTTGGAAGGGTCGTGTGTGGAGAGGCGCGCGCAAAGCGATTGCCGTAGGTGGCCGAGTACTGAGGGTCTATGTAATTGTTTCGAGGTGGCGCCAACGGAGGGTTGTACTCGCGCGAGTAGTCCACAAACGGCACATAGCCGTTGTTGTTTGCACCGTCCTGAAAAAATTTGATGGTTTTATTAAAAATAAATTAGAAGCAAATTTACATCTTCATATTAAAATAGTACGTAAACTGGCAGATGGATTAAATTTTTTAATTAGGAAAAATTAATTAAAAAGGTATGTTTACTAAATTTCAACATAAAAAACACCCCAAGAAGCAATAATTAATATAATACAATTTATTATTTAGGAAACTAATCTGTATGATAAATATATTATTTTGCATAAATTTCTAAAAAATAACTTACAGTTTTTAGAGGCAGGGAAGGTTCGGTGTAGTCAGCAGAGTACCTGTAGATGCCCTCGCCGCCATTTGTCAGTCGAGGCGTCGGGACATCACTTCTGTCCTCCCACCTGTCGCTTGTGTCCTCGTGGACGTTGCTCAGGGAGGATGAGGTTCTGATGTCTACTTTCAGGTCGGAGTCGTTTGAAGAGCGGTCGGAAAGTTTTGCCGACTTTTCAGGCATATCCACAACAACTAAAATTTTAGAAAATTAATTTTTATTTTTTTCCCTTAATTTGTATGTAAAATTTACCTTGTGGAGGTGATCTGTGGAGATTCTTCTGATTGGTTCTGCACCTGCAGAAGCAAATACAAGCCACAAAAAGCACCAAAACAACAGCCCCCAGGGCAACGTAGAAGATGATCTCAAGATTTTTGAGTCCGTCTTGGATTCGGAGGTTGATTTCCGCCACGTCTGTGCCAAACGCGTTTGATGCGGAACAGTTGTACGCACCAAAATGCATACTCTGCGCGCCTCTGATCACCAGCGTGCTTTTTATCCCTTCTGGTAAGGGCTCTTCGTTGATGGTGACATCAGGGTCGACTAAAAACAAAAAGAAGTGAAAATCTCGAAACGAAATGGCTCTCGAAAGCGAGAGTAAAAAGATAAAAAGCAGAAATGAAACTCACGCGCTGCGTGCACCTCGCGGCCGTTCCTGCTCCAGGCGACTCTATCCGGCCGGGGCACCGAGAAGACCACACACTCAAGCTTGACGGTCTCCCCCACGGAGCCGTACTGGGTGAGCCGAGAAATTATGTCTGGCGGCCCCTTGAGGTACACTTGAGCCTCCGCTTTGATATCTGAGAAACCCTCGGTGCTGGCCACGCAAATGTATCTGCCTGCGGTCCTCGAGCTCACGGTCAGCGACAAATTGTTTGAGCTGGAGATCACCTAGGGCCGAACAAAGAAAGGGAAAAGTGGGTCAGAAAAATTGGATTTTCAGATTCAGATTTATTCCATAAATTCGTATGCCCTTTTATTACTAAAATATAAACAAATATATATTTTTACGTTTATTCAAATTATCATTTTTATTTATTACCTTTGATGTTTCACCATGGAGCCACCTGATGACTGCAGCAGGGTTGCTGTCCACGTCACAGCTAAGGGTCACTTGAGCACCATTCTCCGCTTGCACACTTTTCGGTCGGTCTTTGAAACGCGGACCATCTGCGATAAAAAAAATTTTCATTAATTTTTGCCCTACTCTCACAAAAAAGCCGCATGTTGCGTGCGAAATTTCAACTCACAGGCAATGTCCAGCGTCTCCGACTCTTCGCTTTTGCCGACCACATTGCGTACCTCGCACTTGGCAATCGTGTCGTGCATGGAACGGGTGACATTCGGGATGAGCAGCTCTGTCGTGTACTCGCCGCTGACGGGCTCGTCGTTGATGTACCACCTGCGAAAAAGCGACACATTTTAGTTCGATCAACCCGCCAGAGTTTTAATGAAGGACGTGTTTTGCCGTATTTAAATATTTTCTGCGTGTGCTCGAGAGTATCTGCGTGTCATGATTGTCATGCAAAGCCATGCGTTTCAGCAGGAATGTAATATCAGTTTATTTTCGTTGAACAGAACCAGTAATAATAAACAAGTCAAGATTAAACGTGCATATATTTTGCAAAACTTGAAAGTCGACTTGATACACCGCAAAACATCGTGAACATGAAAATACGCGCGCGTATTGTTATGTGAGCGCCACAAAAATTTAAGTCGGTCATGAATAGAATACATGACAAAAGCAAGAGCGCCGTGAAATATGTAAGTATATGTGCGAGTGAATATAAATACGCTTTCAAAGTTCCATTACTCGGGGCTTTCTTGCAATTGTCTTTCATCGGCTTTTTACCCCGCGGGAAAGGCTGAATGCCTTTTGCAGCCGGAAATCACGCAAAGCTTATTGTGGACAGGAAATTTGCGCCCAAAGACTTCTCGTGGCATTTTTATATACGCAAAAAGCAGCGTGACTGCACGAATGAAAGGGGGTTTCTCAACTGAAACAAACCGCAGTATAAATGCAAATGTGCATTTTAGTTAAAATTAACTGCACTAATGCATGTTACTGCTGAATTTATGCTTGGAGGTCATTAAAGTTGCTTTTTTCCGGAAAATGTTTTAAGCGCACCGGCGCTCATTTAAAACAAACTGCTGCAGAGTGAAAGGCGAGTAGCAAGCGCGGTCGCAGGCTCTAATCTTTATTTGCTCCAACTTTGGCAATAAAGCGAGCGAGCGAGCAAAGTTGGATCTATGTGTGTGTTAGAGAGCAAGTAAGTATTATTATAAAGAGAATGGAATGATTGCCAACCTGTAGTTGAGGCCGTCGGTGGGGTTGGCCTCCGCCTTGCAGGCGAGTTTGACCTCGTCGCCCTCGACGATCCTTCTGTCCTCCGGGTGTGTGACCCGCACCGACACTTTTGGGGCGAACTTGACGTCAAGCCTTAGACGGGCGCTGCGGTGGTTTCTGTCGGCCGTGTTTTGCGCCTGGCACGTCAGATTTTGTCCGTGGTGCTCTTTCTTGGGGATCAGCTTGAGAATGGACTTGGCGGTGACCCTTTTCCCATCGGGCAGCGGCTCGGTGACCGTCTCAATGCCAGAGGTGATTACGTTGCCCTGCCCGTCCAGCCAGGTGATCTAATTACCATGGAAAAACGCGAGAGATTGGATTAGAGGATGACGTGCGAGAATGAGAAAATGGAAAATGAGTTCAAGAAAAGCCCTCGAGCGCCTCTCGTCGGGCAGTGCGAGATTGGCTGTTGCCGTAAATGGGCACTTGAGGTAATGAGCGTGAGTGCGTCATAAAAGCGATTTGTTCGACGCTTGCCGTAATCGAAAACACACGCTTGCCTTTTGTCCTTCGGGACGCGAAAAACCGCTCTTTGCCAGAGATGAAAGCAGGAGACGCGAGCGCTTATGCTATTGGAAAGTATTTTGCAGAAATTGCCAATTTCATATTTCTGCCAACGAGACTGCAAATTGGTTTTGTTAGAATCCTTTACAAGCTGCGAAGGAGTGGTAAAATGTAAAGTAAGCTATGCTGCAAAAATAAATTAGGCCAAAAATTGAATCCAATAAATATTTTTATACATACATGTAACCTTTTTACGCATGGATCATTTAACAATGTAAATGCATATTTATTGTTCGAATTATATAAAAAAATTATTGATTTTTTTTCACAATTTCACAATTGAAAAACAATGTACAAATCGATAGGTTACTTTATATAAATTTTAAACTTTTAAATTGCAAATCCTCAAAATTTCGTCACTGCCCTCGCATTCAGCTTTTTAATCTGGAATCAAACTACGCGAGCTCCGCAAACCGCAGATTGCATTTGCATAAAAAAAGAGTCACTCCGCTGTGTGATGCCAGTATGTATGCAGCTGTATACTGAAAGTGGTGGTGTGCGCGCAACATTTTCAATAAACGCCAGCAAAATGTATATTATTCGCATGCTCGGCGACTGTTGGGTGTATTTTTGCCATTTTCCACCGACCTACCAACCCAGTACGATTACACGCCGGGTGTGTTCATACAAACTAACTCACTCGCAGAGTGCAGCCGCAAAGCGCAAAAGATATACAGGATCAATATTAGCATGTCTACTAAACATGATGATAAATACAATCGAGAGAGGCGAAGCTGGAGAGGGAAAGAACGAGCCGCCCGTACAAGAGTCATTTTCCTCGAGAAATGCAAAAGTTGAAAGCTGGCGACAATTACAGAGAGGCAGCTCGCTGATAATTACCGCTCGAGTGCGTATAATAATAAAGCTGCTGCTCCACTCCATCCGCGAATGCGAGAGCGACACTCGAACAAAAATTATTTCCCCGTGACTTCTCGAACAAAAGTTCACGCAAGAAATAAAGACGAAAGAGAAGGGAACGAGTAGAGCAGAGAGGCCCTCATTATCATTCTTATAATTTCTTGTGTGTGAAAGAGACAGAGAGCGCGCCTCTGTGCCATTAGAGCGATCTGAATTAACGAGGCGATATGCGACTCGGCGCGAATACCAAAAGTGCGCACCGTGCCGTGTAATTTTATTGCCGCGCGCGCGAGAGCAAAGTTGCCAGGGTGCGAGTTTGCAGTTGGCAAAAAGTTTCGAGCTCCAGACACCATCGCCCGACAGTTACAATTTCATTCGGAATGAGGTACGGCCCAGTCAAAATGCAGCAGCAGCATCAGCCAGATCCACTTTCCTTTTTGGCGTGTGCGAGGGGAGTCGGAAAAAAATTGAGAATAATTTTGTAACACTTTTCCCCCTTTTGACGAACGAGAAAGAAAGAAATAAAAAGTGGAGCGAATGGAAAAAAAGTGATACTGATATTTGCGAAAGGAGAGCAAAAAGTATGGTTGATTTTTACCTCTGCCGATGGTTTTCCGCCTCTGGACACGCACTCGAGTTCAATCTCGCGGTCCTCTGTTGTGGTCAGCACTCGACCCTGAAAGAGGCAAGCAAAATTCCATCATCCGGGGTACAGAAAGCGGCGAGGTATATAAAAGGCCTGTCAAGAACATTCGCACACATGCAGGCTCGTCTCTCTCTCTTTTGCTAAATTGGAAATTTTTTAACAAAGAGAGGCTAAATTACCGCACGCGGCGAACATGCTGTTTGACCTTTCACATCAAAAGGAATGAATAACAAATAATATTGGAGCGTAATGCGATTCAAAGGAGCCGATTTTTGCTATTGAAAAAACGTCCGCAGCAACATCTGCGGATGATTTATCAATTTCTAGTGAATGGAGAGCCTTTGCTACAAATTCATACATTTTTCTTTTACGTACCTGCAAGATTTCTGGTGCATCAGGAGGCACAAGCACGGTGAGTGTGGCTTTGCGTGACCTGATGAAGGCAACTCCAGGCGCAGCGGCCACTTGACACTCAAACTGGGCATCGTCCTCAAGGTTGACGTGACTGATGTCCAGGGAATAGTCACCTGAATGAAAAACAATATTAATAATTTTACTCTAGATACAAGCCTGATTAATTAAGTAGTAATGAATTATATGAAGTATAAAATAATCATATACACTAAAATTCTTGAAATTTTTAGCAAAAGTATTGCTTGTGGTGGTGCCGTTTTGTCCAACAATTACATTTCTTAAATAAATTGTTTCCAACATTTGAATTTGTAACAATGTAGACAAATAAACAACAATATTAAAATTAGTTTAAATTTAATCTTTTATATTTTTTTGTGGTATAGAGGTCTTTCTTTTTATGATCGTATATCTATTGAAAGAAGGATTAAAAGTTTAAAATAAAAAGTTACATTGATTATGTTCTACTGTTATGGTTACAATTTACTGTCATACTAGCAATATTAGTCGGTCGCTTCAATCAGATAATCTAGAGTGGCGCATTTCTTGAGAATCAGCAATACCTCTCTCGCGCGCGCGAAAAGTAGAATAAAAGTTTTACATTGCGCGCACGAGAGGGAGAGAGACACGTAAGTAACTAAAACATAGAGTTCATGTCGAGTCTGAGGAATTTGAAGAAATTGCCGGCTATAAAATTGCCATGAAGTTGGAATAAACTTTATGAAGACGGATGCAAATAAAGGTTTGAAAATTTTAGTGTCAAAACTGACTTGCAGCGTGTAACACGGGGGTTAAAAATCCCCTCTCTTTACACAAGCGCGAAAAGACTCTGCTGCAGGAGAGATTTAATACACATTTTTCCAAGGCGAATACTCCATTCAAGATAAAATGCTTTATTATGCCTTTCCACTAAAGATGTTTGAAAATAAACATCCGTCAGATATATTAAGATGTACTATCGGGAGGAGGAAATTTTGAGAAACTCCTTTTGGATTCCCGGAAAAGAATCTTTGAACCAAATTCCACAGGAACTCACCTTCTTCGTCACTTCCGATCATGGTGTATCTGGGGTAGTGGGACAAGTCGCGATTTGCACCAAGGGCAAAGCTATCCCTGGTCCATTGCAGGATGCCTCGTTTGTTCTCCACTCGGCACGGAAGGGTGACTCTGCTACCCACGATGGCCGTCTGGTCCATGGGTTCGATGGCAAATTTCTGCTCAAGACCTTGCACGCCGCTGAGGACCAGCAAGGCCAGGAGCAGCGTCAGGAAGGTGGTGCGCGCCGACCGCTCCATTTTCTGCAACATACGTGAGAAAAATGAATAAATTTGTCAACTTGGTTGTTGTGCGGGTGGGAAGCTAATAAAGGAACTCGAGGAAACGTTCGGGAAAGGAAACAGAGTAGATCCGCGCGCACTTTTTATGTACCGATAAAAATTTCAAAGGCAGACTGGCGTCCAAACAAACAAACGCGCGCTTTCGCTGCTGCAGATTACGACACATCTGCCGTTTCATATGTATTTTCGGGAGGCCTCCTCCTTTTTGTTTCATGAATCAATAAGCGGCAATAAATAAATACATGCGGCGAGAGCGGGTGGCTCCGCACTGTAAATCAAGCGCGCGGTGTTATTGTTTACAGCAGCAACACGGCGGCCTGCATGGGTTATGTGCGCTGTGTGTTGTATCCATCCGACTTGGGCTAATGTTGGCACCGAGTGATACATTGCAACACATGTGTGAGTGTGCCGCGCCTATGCCCGTCGGGGGTGAAACACATGCGCGCCGAACAAGAAAAAACACCACATTATGCACCGCGAGAATGAGACAATCGGGGCCTCTGTGCGCCTCGCCTGCTATTTATTATTCAAAACCAACCACCGCCTCACAATTAGATCGGATCAGATGCACTGCTCGACACACAAGGCTCTGTTTCGTCCTCTACGCCCCCTGTTTTTGGCTCATGATTAAAGAGATAAAAAAATTTAAAGAGACGATGTCCCTTTTTGTTCATGTTTAGTCGTATGGGTTTTAATTAATGCAGGAATTGAGGATGGCTGGACTTTTTACACCAAGTGACACTTATATGGAATATTAAAATTAATTACAAGATGTTAAATTTAAAGATCAAAAGAAGCCTCTTTTCTGTATATATTGGCAAAGCCTCAACTACTGCTGCTGAAAGTGGATGAAGCTTTTGTGAGTCGTCTCGCCGCCGCTGCGCATTATTAATACGTCTTTCTCCTGACTGCTTGTCAATTTGATGAATTTCGCTACCCCATCTACTGCATGCGAAAAGATGGATTTCGTCAAAATTAATTTTTCTGTTAAAGCGCCGCTTCGCCGCCGCCGTTGTCGGAGGCAACGAAATTGCCTTTGTCCCAGTTTTCCGCGTCAAAAAAAGGGAGGAAGGAGACGACGGCTAAAGAGGGCTGCTGGAGCGGGCGGAAAATCTTATTTTAATGGGGGAAACAGTGGCGTAGAAGGTTCTTCAATAATAATATACAAAAGAGAGCGAGTTGAGCTACAGCACACACGCAGAGTCGAATCTGCTGCAGCAGACTTCTTTTTTATTTTCCTCCTCCTCCACAATTTTGTGCAGCTACTTCTTTTAAAAAATAATTTGCCGGCCGTTGGCTGCATCATTTGAGGCAAATCCGCTCACCCGGCCAGATTTCCCAATTAAATACAGCTTTGTTCGAGGGGAAGAACGAATCAAGCCACTTTTGGGGTGTGACTTCGCCCGCCACCGAGAGCTGCCGCGCTTAATGATTTTAAATTGGCGATTCATCTTTATTAGCACGATCCCCAGACGAAGTCGTCGGCCCACCTGCACGGAAGAGCGGATAATGCGGCGATTTAGCGCGTCGGAAATGACATTTTCTGGCCGCAAAAACGCCTCCTGAGAGCCGATTTTGCTTTTGAACTCTATCCGATTTCCTCTCTGCGCACGGCCACGTTTTTTGTTCTCCATCATGTGGCTCATTTACGACACGCCAGCAGCTGAGGCTGTGCTTTCCTCCCTCTCTGCTCATTAAAAAGTGGTTGCATTGTTAGTCTCTGTCGTTGTCGTAACTTTATAATTAGAAACTGCCGGCTTTTGATCGTAAAAAAGCGCGGTGGCAGCTGAAAAATTGAGAGTTTCCGTGTTGACGACAAAGTATACGCATGTCGAATAATTATCTTTTGATCGTGGAAAAGCATAGTGCTGCAACTTGTTTATGATGAATTAATTGACGAGTGGCGACGAACAGCGAAATTCAATTTAAATATCGCGTTTATTAATCTAAATTGGGCTCTAACGATTTTGGTTTAAGCGGAAAATGACCGTTTCGTGCGCCGGGGAATGTGCTGCAACGAGGATTTTCTGGAATTACAGTAATTTCACGTGCGATAAGTAGGTGTTGATTCGACGCGGCGGCATGAATAACAATAAACTGTCGAATTAAAATTTTGGCAGATTTGCGCGCACTGTATGCTAATTTTATTAATAAAATGGCTAACATGCTGGCTGGCGGGGGGCGTTAACCGAGGTTATAAAAGAGAAGCGTTGTACAGAAAATACACGCGTTCTATGTTCGTATAGAGCATGCACACGCGGCGGTGAAAAGCTCGCAATTTCACATTAATTTCGTATGCAAATGCGGCGTGCATAAAAAGCAGGGGGCGCGAACTAGCATTAAAAAGATAAAACCGAGCAGTGCGGGAATTGGCAAATCCACTACTACACTCGAGCCGCCTGCGGGCTTTTTAACAAATTCTGCCTAATTTTTTACAATTCAACCCGACGGCGGCTTTGCAGCTGCGGAATGAGGCCATATTTTCATCTCTCTGGGCTTCTTTGCACGCGTATATTTTTCAGCCGCGGGTGAGAGATGCTGTGCGCGCGCCCTTCTCTCGTCATGGCCTTTCTCTCCCACGAAGAGCATATTGCACACGCCGGCGTAAGAGGTTTAATAAAAAGCATGTTGATAATGCAGGCCGAAATAAAAAATGGTGTACACTTCCGCGGATGCGAGAGAGAAGCACTGGATATCTGCGAGGATGTGCAGCCTGATGGCCTCATTTGATATGGCAGGGAAGTGAATGCACAAGAAAAGCAAAAAGTGGAAATAAATAAGTGTAAGTTTAAAAATTTACATTGATCTCATTTTAAGACTTATTCCCCTTAAAATAATATTAATTTTTAAGAGCCTGATCTGATTTTATTATTTGAAGAATGATTTAATTTGTAGAAGAAGGAGCATATCTATTATAGGAAAGTACATACAGACAAAATAAATTCAAAAGGTCCTGTTTTGATTCCAGGGTCTTGATTCTTACGTGGGTGCTGAGCACCAAGGGAAATAAGAGGAGTTGAGCGTGCAAAGACCGCCCTTTTTACTTTCCTTATCGGCAATCTTTTTCATTTTTGCGAGCCTTTCAATCTTTTCCAGTCCTTTGAATCTGATTGAAAGAGCTCGCCGCGTCATCTTCGCAAAACTCTTGTGAATAATGAAAAGAAAATTAGCCACCCTCGACGTGGTGCTTTAGAATTTCGGGCCAAAAACGCGTGTATATGGCAGCAGGAACTCGGGAGGGCAAAAAGTAAGCCACTGGCATTTTTTCACTGCCCGCCGAACGCACATATACAGCGTGTGTGTGACGCGAGTGTGTTGAATCCATCGTTGCAGCGTGAGAACATTTCCACCAGGATGTGGCTCGGCATTAAATGTATAAGCAGGCGAGATGATTGTGGCGCGCTCGCTCGGTTCGTGAGCTTGCTGGTGACAAAACTGCTCTCTCGTCTCCTTACTTGCCTCCGCCACGCAGATTATCATTGCGGCATTAAATATGCATGGCGTCATTTATAATAAACACCAGAGGCGGCGGAGATAAGACGGCAGCGGGGCGCGAGAAGCAGAAACTCAACCCTTGTCAAATTGCACGTGCTCAGCAGCGCAGGGGGCCGAAATCAGGTGTCATGCCGGGCCAACTTGCCGCAATCTAATGAGACGAGCAAACGTATTAATTATTTAAATGCAGCCTTCGGAAGGCTTCGGAAGTAGTGCTGATTCCTGCAGACAGCCGTTGCGCTGACGTGGGTTCGCTCCACATTTTCTTTTCTCCGTGGCCATTGTCAACTTGGGGCAAATAATGGAACTGCTCGAGCACGTCTCGTCTAATGTGAACTCGCACGAAATATTACACGCCATGTTTGCCACCGAGACGCTTTTTCATCAACACGTGCCGTAAACTTCGAGATTTGTCAGAATTATTATTTATGCGATGTGGCGTAAATTCATCTGGGCGAAGATGATGGGCTGTCAGGCATCTGTTTGCCCGCAAAAGCAGATAATTTCGGCACTCCTTCTGCCGGCAATAACGCCCTCTCTCTTTCTCTTATGCGTATGTACTCTCGCATATACGCGATATTAAAAATGTCAAGCTGCGGTGCTCGTTTTTGGCGCTGCTGCGAGCGAGTTGCTGACAAGCCTCCTTGCTACTTAGGAAGGCATAATGGAGGCGGCGGCCGTGCTGCCAGCAACTCATCACAAATTTCATTCATTTCCTTCAGCAGCACTTTTTTACAACACACGGCCTCGTATAAAAAGAGGCGCGCGCGATAATATTCCGCCCGGCTCGAGCACCACCAGCAGCGATGTCAGTGACGACCGACCCGGCCAGCACATGCCGAGGGCGCAGAGGCAAGAAAGTGGCAACGGATATGCCCCACACCGCCAAAATAATTTATATTTGCCGTGTCTTTTGAAACCACTGGTTTAAGATCGTCAAGACGCGTCACGACGTCACTTTTAATGAGGCTACTTTGTTGTATAATTCTTGGTACATATATCAGCATGTTAGTACTTTATTGTAATAAAACTAATAATTGTTTTAAATTTTTTGATTATATAATGTGAATTAACTTAAACTCGTTTAAACTATAAAAATGCTGATTATCAGATATAAAGGCTTTATACAATTTTTTACATTAATCTATTGATGACGATATTATAAATTTGCCCAATTAATATTTAGAAATATTTTAGTTGTATTTATGTTTAGTTTAATAACGTGCACTACATATTCATATTTTATTATATTATTAAATACACGATTAATAATAAATATAAATTATATCTATTAAAATATATTATAAAAAATTAAAGCGAGCATAATATTTATAGTATTTAAAAAAAAAATTGAATTCGAAAAAGTAGTGCGTGAAATATTAAAAAAAAAAATCAGAAAAAGCAAAAGATTCTTTCTTTTACTTAATTTATCCAATATTTATTCAGCCGGATAGGAAAGCAATTTA